CTCTCTCCAGTGGTCTCCACAGGCCAGACCCTTATGCAAAGCAGGCATCCCCTCCTCCCAGTTTCTGGACACCTCGAGCCTCCCTCAAGGGTCCCTCGGTGGAAAGAGAGTGGCTTTCCCACCTTTCCTTGGGGCGGAGTTGTGCACTAAGCATGGCCCACACGTTGTCCCCACTGGGGTCAGGGTGCCCAGGCCTGGCCCTGTTTGGGGCCCAAGGTGAACAGGCTGGCTGCTGGGACCCCTGGCCTGCCTCTCAGAAGCGAGTGACTCAGCGACCCCTGCCCCCCAAGCCTTGCTAGCCCCGAGGGGCCCGGCGCCTGGCTGGCAGCCATGGAGCCCACACAACCTGTAACTTGCTCTGGGAAGGGGCCCCGGGGACGCCCAAGGGGACAGTATTGGTGTCTCTTGGTTTTTCCTGTTGCTGCTAGGTGCTAGGATTGGGATGGGGCGGCCACTGTGCCCTGGAACGTAGCCCAGCCCCCAGGGTGCCCTGGAAACCTCCCTCCAGCCCCTTCCCAGGAAGCAGCACACTCTAGCTTGCTGAGGTGAGGGCTGGGCCACCAGCAACCCCAGGCTGATGGTCGGAAGGGGGCATGTGGGGAAAGGCCTCAGGCCAGCGTCATGGGCTCTATACTCGGGGCTGGCAAGGGCCCCCAGTCAAGGCCGTAGTTTGTCAAAACGTTTCCGGGGCGCTGAGGATCCGGAGGACCGCCAGGGAGATTGGGGACGGGAAGGCCACCACAGCCGAGTCAAAGCTGCTGTGTCCGTCCTTTCCAGGCCCCTGGGGCGGGACTCACCGGCACGTAATGTACCACCGTGTCCACCACGTTGTCAGTGACACCCTTCAGGGCGTCCGACAGGGACATGGCCCTCCCCTTGGCGGAGGAGACAGCGGGGGCCCCGGGGAGGTGCAGCATCCTGGCTGCCGAGCCCAGCACAGTCGCGGGCGCCCACATCACGGCCGAGATGGTGCTCTGGAGGGCCTTCTGCATGGTGTGGGCCACGCTGCCCAGGAGGCCTTGTGGGCTGGGCAGGGCTGCTACCTGCGGGCCAGAGCTAGGTCAGCACCTCCTGCAGCGGCCCCCCTGGCCCTCCCCCTCCCCACCACCCCCAGAGCTAGAAGGGAAAGAACGGGGGACACCAAACTGAAACAGCCGTAGGCTCGGCTCTGCCACCAGCTGTGTGGCCTTGGGCAGGTCACTTCCCCTCTCTGAACCCGCTTCTTCATTTGCAAAATGAGTCTGGCAGTCTCCCCACCTACTGTGCGGGTCAGCTGAGGGGGGCGGGCACAGAGGCTGTGTGCAGATGAGGGGAGCGGTGCAGGAGGCAGGCACTGCGTCTCTGAGCCCCTGGGGGGGGGGGGTTGGGGTGGGAGGGAGGCAGAGACCCTGTTTTACCCTGTGCCTCTGCTTCTCCTCCCCTCACTGGGCCGCGGGACCCGGAGGCATCCTGGTCCCACTCAGCTTCTCGCCCCCTTACCTCACTGAGCTTGTTCTCCTCGGTGTCTGACTCCTCCTCCTCCTCCGTCTCTCCCTCTGTGTCCGTGTGGTCCTCGTGGTCCTCCTCCTGGGCGGCCGTGAGGCTGTGCAGCCAGGGTGCCCGCGCCTCACTCTCCCGCCGGGACACCACCTGCATGGCCACGGACGCGCCCCACTGGGCCAGACTGCTCTGAGGGACGGAAGGCCGAGGGCTGCTGGATCCAGGGGCAGACCCCCTCGCCCCCAGGGTCAGGCCCCAGCAGACTGTTCCTAAAACTTGTCATTGAGGGATAACTTCCATACGTGGAGTGCGCACATCGTTCATGTGCAGCTCTGTGAGGTTTCCTGAGCACACGCCTGTGTAACTACCACAGATCAAGACACAGACCCCTTTCAACCCCCCAGTCTCCCTGTGCCACCCACGCAGGCGGGTGGGTGGCACAGGGGGACCACATTTTGACCTCTACCACCATGCCTTGGTTTTGCCCATTTTTGAACCTCATATAAATGGACTCATCCAATGTGTTTTCTTTCACGAATGGCTTTTTATTCAACATCATGTTGTGAGATTCGTCTGTGCTCTTGCGCGTTCAAAATAGCTCCTTCTCTTCCCTGTGACAAGTCCATGTACGCATTGCCATAATTTACACATTCTGCTGTTGATGGACGTCTGTGCTGTTTCCAGTTCTTGGCTAAGGATAAAGCCCGATAGGAACATTTCGATGTGTCTTTTGGGGGACATAAGCTCTCGTTGCTGGTGGGTCGAATCGATGGGTCTTAGGGGGTATGTGTGTTTAGCTTTAGCAGCTACTGCTTGGAGATCTTTAAAGAGTGAAAAAATCAACAGGGCCACAGTGTCCCATGGGTGGAAACAGACTTGGGCAGGTGGGCTAGTGTCCCCTTGAGGCACAGCCTGGCTCACTCTGGACCCTAGGGAGCTCCACAAACATTTATTATTCAACTCCAGGGGACACCGGTATGTCTTACGTGAACAGGGTGCCCGAGGTTGCACGGTACGGTAGGGTCTCCCGTCTGCACATAAGGCTGGCACACGGGTCCGTCTCAGCCCCCACTGGGAAATGACCCCCCAGTACAGGGGACAGAAGGGAACTACCAGTCCTGTATCCCTACTGGAGCCACAGAAGCTGGCGCACAGCACGTTCTCAGCAAACATTAGCTTGAATGGATGATCCAGGGCTGATGAGCTTTTAAAAGTGTCGCCCAAATGATGGCTCAGAAATGGCTCTTTTGTTTGCTGACCTTTATGCTGTAATGTTGTTTGTGTTTCCTTTATTTTCCTCTATTCGGTCTTTGTTTCTTACGAAAAAATGCAGTCTATCTCTGCTAAAATACACAGAGGTGGAGGGGGGTATGGTGGGGAGATCGCCCTACGTGCACCTAGAAAAGGAGGCTTTGCCTTAGGGGCAAGTAGAATGCAAATGAGAAGCCTCTGGAAAGGAAATTTTGAAATCTGGGGCGGTCAGGGTTGCAGCCTGGCCAGGGCTCTCTCCCCAACGGAAGGAGCTTGGGGCCTGGATTATTTACAGGGGACACTCCCTAGTGTCTGGATAGCAGCCGGGGGCCTCTGCTCCCTCATAGGCAGGAGGGCCCACAGCAGGAGGCCCCCTAGGAGGATGAATTTGGGGGGCGGGACTCAGAGGGACAGGGAGAGACACCCTAGCAAGGCAGGCCTGCCCTCGGTTCATGTCCTGTCCTTTCTTTCCCCTTGCAGCCAGAGGACCGGCCCTCAACCGCCCTAAGGCCTCTTGTCCTTAGACCAAAAGTCCCAGGCCAGGCTGGAGGAGGGAATGTTCTTAGGACCAGAGGTGGAGTCGGGTGGGAGGGACCCAGGCTGGGGGTCAGCCAGATCAGGGCAGACACTCACCAGGGGCGCCACACCTGGGATCCACATGGCCAGGGCGTGGCCCTGCTTCAGCGCACGGGCTGTGGTCTGGAAGGTGTGTTGGGACAGGGTGTTGGCCAGGGCCCCAACCCTGCTCAGGAGGCTCGGCTTGCCTTTGGGAGGCTTCTGGGCCTGCTCGTGTCCTGCGGCAGGGGCTGGGTTGGATTTGGGGGTAAAAGAGAGGAAAGCTGATCAGAGACGGGCTAGGGAAGCTGGGCCTCTGTCTAGGGTTGGAAAGCGGTCACCCTGGTTCCACCACAAGTCTGCTAGTGACTCGGGTCACTCACTTGCCCCACTTACAAATGGGGAGAGGAGGCTATATTAGGATGGCTCCATCTAAGTATCTCGCCGGACCTTCCCTGTTCCAGAGCAGTGGCTGGGTGAGTCCCGGCTGCCTGTTGCTAATTCCCAGGCAGCATGGGTAGGCGCCTCCCTTCCCAGGGGGTGGGGGTGGGGAGATCTGCCAGCCCCCCTAACGATAGATACCTGACTCTTCCTTGGCGGAAGGGAGGAGGTACTCTACCACCTTCTCGACGCCACCCAGGGCCAGGTCGGCCCCTCCGGAGGCCAGCCGGCCGGCTCGGGTGTTAGCAGCATACTCAGCAGTGTCTTTGGCCGCCCCCCAGGCGAGCTCGCAGCTGGCCAGAGCGGCCCCCAGGACCTTGTCCGAAGTGCTGGCAATGGGAACGCTGATGCTATTCCTGGCACTGCGAAGGCGGGTTGAGATGGTGTCCTTCAGCTCAGAGGCGATCTGTGGGAAAGGGGGAGGGGGGGTCAGGCCTGTGGGTCTGGTAGCCCTGAGCCCAGCTCCCAGGAAGGCCTCAATTAAAGGCCCAAGCGAGGGGCGCCTGACTGGCTTAGTCGATAGAGCATCTGACTCTTGATGTCAAGCTTGCGAGTTCAAACCCCACGCTGGGCGTTGAGCTTACTTAAAAAAGAAAATAAAGGCCCCGGGGACTGGCACCAGTATCTGGGCCTCTTGATTACGCTGGGCTTTAAAGGGGGAAGAGCTCCAGTTCTCCCTGTGCATGGATCTCCTGGCTGCTTCGCACCCACTTCCGCCTATCAAGATCCTCACCATCCTTCCCCCACAGAGGCCACCTCCTTGATGACACCCGTCTTGAGATTCTCATGTACACAAGGCACCTCCACTCCCAAACTCCTTTAATGCCTTCTCTGTTCTTCCCTCAGAACACCGCTCACATTCCCACCTGTGTTTATATTGACTCAGAGATGTGGCTGTTCACCCTACCAGTTCTGTACCAAAATAATTGATCTTTCTCTCCTATCAGCCTGGGAGCCCTTTTGTGACAAAGGTGCCCTTTATCCGGAAAGATGTGAAGAGCACAGGCCTCCGAGCCAAGCAGACCCGCTCTCACGTGGCCTCCACTTACGGCTGTGCGGCCAGGGAAAAGTCACTAGCTTTCTCATCTGTGAAATGGGGATCCCTGCCCTGTCCCAGAGGGCTGATAAGAGGATTAAATGGGAGGGCTCCACAAATCGCATCACGGCCCCTGGCACAGGGTAGGGCTTAGAAAATCGTTGCGGGATGAGTAGATGGTTGGTCAGTGGGAGGGAGCTTATCCCCAAAGCCCTTACCTAGCAAACGCCCAATGCACGTGTATCTAGGTAAAGTGACCTTTTCAGTCTCATGGTCCATAAAGGGCTGGATCTTGAGGACATGGGAGTGCAGTCCCGGGATCTGATGAGTGTGGCCCAGGATGTTAGGGGACTATAGTTAGCAAGTGGCCCAGTGTGGGCCCACCAGGTGTCGTGGGGCAGGGCAGGGGGGGTGGTGGGATCTGAAGCAGTGAGACCCGCCCCAAGCTCCTGTTTGAGTTTGCCCCTGGGCGGGGCCTACTTTCCAGAAAGGCTGCCTTCATTTGGCACCACAGGGAGAGGAGGAAGCCTGCTGTGTGGACTTAGGAGCCGGCAGCCACCCCCAAGCTGGAAGGGCGCCTACCACAGAAATGAAAGACTGACAGTCATGGATCGTCAGCCTGCGCCCTCTCCTCCTGAGCGGCGGGACAACGGAACATGGGGCACATTCCGGAAGAGGAAAGGGGCTCACCTTTTCAGGAGGGTACTGGAGGGCTGGGATCTTTTCCTCCAGGTGGTCCAGGCCTCGGCAGGCCAGCTCGTTGGCCGCTGTGACTGGAAGTGAAGGGCCATGGTGGGGTAAGCTGTGAGAACCTAGCAGTGGCCTCCGTGCCAGGGAAGGTGCCTCAGAGCCTTCAAAACCCCCAGCCCTGCTGCCTCCAGCGCATCTGGGAACCTGGGGCTCCCCTGCAGCCCCTCCAGTCCGCGGTAACTCCTGGAGGCCAGGCCCGTGTCTTCCCTCTGTGTAGGAACTCTGGAGTCAGGCAGGTCTGCACTCAAAGCCCAGAGTCTGCACCTGCAAAGTGTGGCCTCAGGGGAGTCACAACCTGCCCGAGCCTCCGGTTCCTCATTCGTAAGACGTGGGTTAATGGATCCTACCTTGCAGGAGGAACTGGCAGAAACTCTGTGAATCACCAACAAATACTGGGCTCTCCCTCCCTGCCCTCCCTCCCCTCTCTGGGTGAACTCTGGGTGGGCACGAAGGAGGAGAGTGAAGGCGTGTGAGCAGGGGCAGCAGGGCCCTTCGGGGGGCCTTGGTGGGAGTAGGGCGGGCACGGCTTAGTTCTGGAGGTGACCGACTCCTAGCCACGGCCAGCCCAGGCCCCAGATGGTCCTTGCCCTTCCTTCTGACCTCTAGGAGGAAGATGATCAGCAGCGGGAAGAGGGTCACAGGGAAGAGAAAGGAATTGTCCCTAGAGAGCAGGGCAAGTCCCAGAGGACGCAAATGCTTCTAGATTACTGCCCAGGGGCTGCCGAAGATGTAGCCCTGCAGTCATGACCATGGAGACGGGTTCTATATTCTCTCACATAATCTTTCACATATGCTTTCTCCAGATAGGTGACATTTCTTCACAAAATTCTCAAGCAGCAGAGAACCCAGATGACTTGGCCATCTTCTGATTGGGCGAAATGAGACCCAGGGAAATTATTTGAAGAGTTTGTAGGCAGGGAGGCTGCTGGCCCAGGGCAGAATCCTCAGACACCCATAATTCGCTAATCAGGATGGTGGAAGGTCCTAGACTTCTTGGTGCTGCTGGGATTTCCCTCAGCCCTGTCAAGAGCCCTGCCTTGGATGTTGTGATGAGCAGCGGGTGATGTATGGAATTAGTGAATCACTATATTGTACACCTGAAACTAACATAACACTGTATGTTAACCATGCTGGAATAAAAAGAGAGAGCGAGCGAGAGAGAGAGAGAGAGAGAGAGTGCCTTGCTTTGGAGACTGTATTTACAAATAAGGCAGGACAATTTGAACAGGGGGGGTCTGATAGCAGGGGCCACATGGACTGTCACCGGCTGGTCCCATCAGCTCCTGGGCCTGGAGAGCTTCCTGTGCCCCCGCTCCCCAGGCCCTGCCGGGCCAGCCCTAGCACCTAGGGACCCTGCCTGTGTGTCAGACTCTACGAGTTCCTGCTGCCGCCAGATTTGGGGCCAAACTGGGTGTCTGGTCTACCACAGGCTTCACTCCCACCACTGCCCACACGGCTCTGCCCATTCCCTCCCCTGCCAACTCTCTGGCCTATCATGTGATCCCAGGAAAATGCCAACTTGGCAATAGACGAGACACGTAAGGATGGGAAGGGATGTATGTCCATATCTGTAGCTGTATCTACGTCTGCATGATCTGTGTAATGGGATGTAGGTGGTTAGAAAGGCGGTCAGACAGACAAGAAGGTGCACAGACATATCGGCAGACGGACAAGCGAGCTGTCGATCGGACAGACTGACGGATGGTGGCCTGCAAGGGCCACGAAGACTCACACTGGGTGGACAGCCTGCGGACCACGGGCTCCATGCTCCAGGCCGCCAGGCTGCTGGCGCCCTGCACACCCTTCTCGTAGGCATTGCACACAGAGGCCACCAGGGGGTAGGCTTCCTTGGTGCTGGTGTAGGTCTTCTGGAAGCACTCGCAAGTGCCGCTCACCACCGGCAGCTGCAGGACCCGTTGCAGGACGTTCTCCTGCTCCTGGAAGAAGAGAAGGCAATCGAGTTGTCCCTCTGCCCTCTCGTGCCTCTCGGGAAGGCAGCCCAGGGTCACGGCGCCCACCGGTGAGGCTCGCCGGGGTCCAAGCGACCCAGGAGGAACCCGGGCCAGAGGGGGAACACAAGAGCCAGGCTGCTCCGCTCTCCTGGCCACAATCCAGGCTCTGGAGAGCTGCTGGGACGTGGCCTCCCGGCCTCCGCATGCCAGTCCTCCCCTTGGGCACTCTCCCCCTGCCCTCCCATGCCCCTTTCTGTCGGGCAAAATGCCACTCCCTCAAGACACGGCCTGAGGCTCACTGGTTCTGTGAGGCTTCTGACCCTCTTCCATCACGTCAGAAGCTTCCACTCCCTCCTAGCTTGTCTCCACACGCATCACATGGTGCTGCGATCATGTGTGTACCTGTCTCTCTCCCGGCCAACCGTCCTCTTTGCATCTCCAGTGCCTAGCCTAAAACCTGCGCGGTAATGTTGGCTGAATAAATGAATCAGCCGGGGCTATACCTAGAAGGGGTGAGTTTAGATCGGAATCACGGAAGTTCAGATCTCCGGGAGCTTCTGCAGCAAAAATGCCTTCTTCCCATAGCCTCTCTGGCAGACTTGTATCTAGATGTCTCCTTGGATGGGTCTTGCCCCTCCTACAGTGGCCGTGGCCCTTGTTGGACAGCCAGTGCTGAGCTACAATGTGCCTTTACCCACCGCTCCACCCTCTGTCCTCTGGAACAACACTGAGCAAACCTATTTCATCACTCATGGGCTGACCCTTCACATATTTGAAGGCAATATATATGTCTGCCTTTAGTGGTCCCTCCTCTGTGCTCAATAGCTCCGGATCCTAACTTAGCTTACCACCCTGGTCTGCTGGTCCCCTCTGGACCTGCTACAGTTTAGTGCTGCTTTCCTTCAATATATGCACTCACACTTGAAGACAGCATTCCAGATGTGGTCTGAGCACATGGGGTATAGTGAAACTGTCACTTCTTGTTATCGGGGAGCCATGTTCTTACTAATGCGTTTCACCTACGCAGCAGTCACCTACACCGAATTAAACTGGAGGTCGCCTGGGACTCTCAGTGAACAAACACAGGTGTTTGAAAGAATGTGGACTCCAGCCATGCACAAGGGAACGTCTCCTCAGTGCCATTATACCCCAGGCACGTATCAGGGTGCTTTGGTGACAAGACCTCACTGAATTCTAACAGCGACCCTCTGAGGTCTAGCACTTTGCCTGCGGGGACACAAACACTCAGAGATGTGAAGTGACTTACCCGAGATCACACAGCTAGTAAGTGGCAGAGTCAGGATTGCAACTGAGGCCTGAAATGGCCTGTGATTTGCTTCAAAATATCGCAAGGCGGAGGAGTGAGTGAGCGTGTGGATGAGGCCAGACCGGCCACGGGATTGATAAGCGGCTGTGGCAGCTAGTGAGGGGTATTCTCTGCTTCTGTCCGCTCGCAGGAATGCTCAGAAACCGCCACATAGGAAGTGAAAAGAGAAAGCTCCCCCGTCTGACTCAGGCGCAGGGGCTCTCTCTGCAGTCGGGATGTGTCCCTGTTACAGGGTTCTGCTCTGGAGGAGAGGACCTGGCCTCTCTATTTGTAGGCTGAAGTAGAAGACCCATCAAGGAGACTTGGAACAGCAGGCCGTGCACAGCATTTTAGCTTTCATTTTGCAGGCGAGTTTGAAATTTGAACTAGACAAAGATTATGACTGCAAACGAGAATATTTTAATACTTGGACAGACTCTTCGGAGGTTGTTGTAGGCAGAGCCAAAGAGGGTCAATCCCGACCCTATGTACTTGTTCATTTTATGCCTCTGTATTCTAGGATTGATTGATTGATTGATTGATTGATTGATTTAACACTCGTTTTGCAGAGACAGAGAGAGACAGGGCGTGAATGGGAGAGGGGCAGAGAGAGAGGGAGACACAGAATCTGAAGCAGGCTCCAGGCTCCGGGCTGTCAGCACAGAGCCTGACGCGGGGCTCGAACTCACGAACTAAGAGACCATGACCTGAGCTCAAGTCAGAAGCTTAATGACCTGAGCCACCCAAGTGCCCCTATATTCTATGATTTGATATAAAACTTAACATGGTGATTCCAAGTGCAAAGGTTAGTTTAAATTAGGTCCTCTAGAGGCGCCTGTGTGGCTCAGTCGGTTAAGCGTCCGACTTCAGCTCAGGTCATGATCTCAAGGTCCGTGAGTTCGAACCCCGCATCAGGCTGTGTGCTGACAGCTCAGAGCCTGGAGCCTGTTTCAGATTCTGTGTCTCCCTCTCTCTCTGCCCCTCCCCTGTTCATGCTCTGTCTGTCTCAAAAATAAATAAACGTTAAAAAAAAAATTTTTTTTTTTTAATAAAAAAAATAAAAAAAAATAAATTAGGTCCTCTGGGGACAAGATGGGCAGTATAGGGGTGCACAATTTGTAAGCTTCATTGACTCTTTGAACTGTGCCTAAATCGGAGAGGCCTTGCACGGAGGCATCAGGTACACCTGAAGGTGTCAATCCGCTCCGAGTCGCAGAGAAAACCAGCCTAGACACACAACTCTGGAAACACCGTTCCTCGACCCCCTTCCCATACGCAGCAACAAGCTGCGCCGCGTGTAACTCGGAGAGGTGCCATTCGCACAGAACACACACAACGCCCCAGAGTTACAGAATACAGCGGCTCAGCGCCTCAAACGACACCCCACCTGGGTGGACAAAGCAGGGGCTTTTGCATCAGGGTTTAGAACTCAGTAAGTAGCTCCCTTCCCCCTCCTTTCTTTCCCTCTCAGCCAATATTTCTGTCCTTTCCTCCGAGGTGTTTAGTTTTCGTTAGGCACTCCCCCGCCCCCTCCTCTAAGAGCCCCCTGCAAAAGGCAGTGAGGGCGAGAATAATGAAGACGTAATGGTCAATGAAAGGTGAATGTAATCGAGACAGATCTTGTCCTAAATCCCCTGAACCTGTCCTCCCTCCCCCACTCAGTGGTCCCCTCCTCCCTTCTCATAAAGGCCCAAGTTACTTACGGGGAGGTCTCCATCCGGCAAGGCTGGGCCCTTGTTGATGGCCGTCATAGCTCTTCAAGCTGCAAAGCAGAGTGCCAGGTCCATGAGAAAGCTCTCAGCTTGACACTTGCAGGGTCAGTCCCCTACCTCTCATGACCACTGACGAGGCCCAGGCTGCCTAGGGGCTCCAGCTCCCTCAACAGAAGGCATCTGGTTGGAGGGTGAATGTCAAGGACTAGCAGCCCCTCCCTGGAGTCCCACTGGGAGGAGCTGCCCCACAGCCTACTTGTCAAGACTGATGTTTCTTACAAGGGTTCAGGGTAAGAAATGAGAAATAAGGGTAGCTTTACGAGGTAAGAGGTTTTAGATGAAGAGGCTCCCAGATGAAGATCCAAAAGAGACTGAAAGAATAAGTTTCAGGTTTAGTCTTTTTTTTTTTTGGTGAAAAAGTTCTGCATTAATTCTGTTCTTTTTAAGCAAGCATATCTGCCGGTCCTTCCCTGAATGCTCAACTAAGAAAGCAGTCACTCTTAAAACCAGCTATTTCAGCTGCGTTCTGGAAAAGCTAGTGCGCCAGGATATCTATCCTACACTCTTGGTCATTCACCTTGGGTAATCTCTCCCTCAGTGGTTTCCCTGCAGGCCTCTTCATCTTCAGTAAAGTTCTCAGGACACCCTTACCCTCAGCTTCTTTCCTTTAACTCTCGGAAACAAAGCAGGTAAGGCGTTCCTGGGCCCCTGCACTCACGCTAGCGGATGCTGCCTCGGTCCCACAGAGCCCAGGCTTCTGAGTGTCTCCCCAGAAGAAACCCTTCCAGCTGCTCCAGAGAAGCCTTGGGCAATGCTACTAACACCTCCCAGCTGGAGGAGGGCAGAGAGGAAGAGAAAGTTGGGTCAGCCAGTTGTCATGGTTATTTGAGCCAGGGCCCCCCGAACGTACCCTAACTTCTGTAAGGAGATATGGCCAACTAGGAGGTGGACTGCAGAGCTGATGGAAATCCAGGCCGAGGCGTTATTATTCCAGAGCCATGAAAAATCCATTCTGCAACACATTTCTGGCCCCCGGTTCTCAAAACAAACAACAACAAAAAAAAACCACCTGTCTTCCAGAAAGAAGGTGTTGGAATATGTCATTAAACTCATGAATTCTAAAGTTCTATAGTCTTTGGTTCCTTTTTCAGAGTGTGCTGTGGGACTGTTTTCAACCCACTTCCCTCATCCCTTATTATTTACAAGAGTGAATTTTGAACAGTAAGATTTAAACCTATGCAGGAACAGCGCTCACCCAAATGTACCACTCTCTCTCTGATACATTACTCTCAAGAAGAGGACCAGAGCTGGGGGTTGGCTCTTTGACAATCTAGCCTTTGAGGAAGCAGTTTCAACCTCTGTAAATTTCCTAGATTTCAAGGTCTAAGATGCCACCAGAATATGCCGCGGGAGAGCTAACTGGATTTTGCCGAGTCTGAAACAGTGTTGGCCAGGATCCTCTGACTTATTGAAGCATGCAAACAACCAAGAACTATCACCTCTCATCCCTTCCTTAGTACAAACCAGCCGGGGGCCCAAGTTCTAGCTCCTGGCTTCAAAGACGACAGAGTATGGTGGAAGCCAGTTTTCAGATTATCTAAGGGCCTCTTAAAATGGATATTGGTGGCGGTGGGGGGATTCCTGGCTGGCTCAGTTAGTAGAGCATGCAACTCTTGATCTCAGGGTCCTGATTTCAACCCCCTTTTGGGCTTAGAGCTTACTTAAAAATAATAATAAGATGAATAATGGGGGTATAAACTTATTTTCCTTATTGGTCGTAGAAGTATCTCTGTTGAGGACTCTCGGCTAAGCTGTATGCTGTGGGCAACCAGAGAAGGGCAGGAGGTGAGGAGAAATGGCGCTTTCTCCATTGGCCATCAATTCTGTATCTGTGATATAATAAAGCAGGGAATGAGAGGTCAGGAAAGGGAGGAAAGAGTCACGCAGGGAGCCTCCAAAAGGAGTAATAAATATGTGGTATGTTCAGCACTTATTGACTTGACTGGGACTTCTATATTTAATTTTTTTTACATCATGTTTTAAAACTTATTTTTTTTTTAATTTTTTTTTCCCAACGTTTATTTATTTTTGGGACAGAGAGACAGAGCATGAACAGGGGAGGGGCAGAGAGAGAGGGAGACACAGAATCGGAAACAGGCTCCAGGCTCTGAGCCATCAGCCCAGAGCCCGACGCGGGGCTCGAACTCACGGACCGCGAGATCGTGACCTGGCTGAAGTTGGACGCTTAACTGACTGCGCCACCCAGGCGCCCCTTAAAACTTATTTTTGAGACAGAGAGCGAGAGAACACAGGGAAGGGGCAGAGAGGGAGGCAGAGGATCCAAAGCGAGTTCCACGCTGACAGCAGACAGCCCAAAGTGGGGCTCGAACTCACGAACCGTGAGATCATGACCTGAGCTGAAGTCGAACGCTTAACCAAAAGGGCCACCCAGGAACCCTTATTTTTTATTTTTTAATGTTTATTTATTTGAGAGGGGGGGAGGGGCAGAGAGAGAGGACGGGAGAGACTCCCAAGCAGGCTTTGAGCTATCAGCAGTTATCAGCGCAGAGCCTGAGGCAGGGCTCGATCTCTTGACCATGAGATCATGACCTGAGCTGAGATCAAGAGTCACTTAACCGACCGAGCCACCCAGGTGCCCCCCGACTGGGGCTTTTAAAATAGAAGACAGTGATGGAGGAAAGGAAGCATTTAAAAATGGAAGCATTTAAAAACCTCGCCTCAAGGTTCAGGGCAATTCATCCACGAGGCTGTGTCTGGAGAGCAAACTGGGCCAAAGGGCAGTTGCAGGGCTTTGGAGCGGTGGCTCTGGGCCAGAGAGTGCAGGGCTCTGTGCCTGCAAGCTCTGCTGACAAAGCCGGTCCTTTGGCCGCCTCGGCCGGGAGTGCGGAATGTGGGTGAGAGGGGACAAGTGGTGAAAGGGCCTAGGACGGTCCCCCAGGAGCGGTCCATCTCCCAGCCACAGCGTGAAGACGCAGGTTTATTTCCTTTCCTCCTCCACCCCCACCTGCCCCCTCACCCCCCGACATGAACATAGGGGCCTTGGCCCTCTTGTGCACAAGTGGATCCCCAAACTAAGCATGGTATTCAGACATTCGTTGTGGAGCTAATTCTCAGGGAACAATGTTCAGTTGTTCTGTGCATCTATTAGGAATGTCTTTGGTCTTCAGAATCCCTCGTGAATGTGGAGGCTTGGAGGTGGGGATGGTTAGTTAGAAGCAAGAAACACGCAGAGAGGGAGGTTCTGGGGTACCATCCAGGTTTTCACACATTCTAGAAGAGACGGTATTTCCCAAACTCCCCATCGCTCACGCTAAAGCGCAGAGGACAAAAGCAGCGAGCAGGACGCCACTGTGACAGGCGACCGCAGATTCGAGGCCCACTTCTCCAGGCAGAAGCCAGACCACCACCTGGCAGAGCTGGTCCAGAAGACCCTCTCCCGGAGGAGATCATCCTAGTGGTCTTTCAACCCAGACGTTCCAACCTAAGTCGTTCTTCACCCTCCTCCTCGGCCTGGACCTTCCAGGCGGGAGCTCCTTGTACCGGAGCCCTCTCTACCGTGTCCACTCTGATCGTCTCTGGATTGGCTTTCTTTTCGCTCTTCCTCATTCCCAGAACACATTCACAGAGTCAGGAGTCTGTTTTGTCTAGCAATTTATTAGACATAATTAATCTATGGCAGCAAAGGATCTGGACAAAGTAGAATTGGTTACTTAAACTTTTTGCTTGCCCTGACCTAGCAGCTTTCATTTCTCTTAAAATTCCCCGAGGGTCTTCTCAAATCCCGTTATCTTGATCAATCACTTTAAAAATGAGACAGCCAAGGACCGGAGTCCAGTTTTTAAGAATCTCATTCACATTCCTGGGAGAGCTAGTGCACGTTTCTTTTCTCATTTCCGTTCAGGTAAGTGAAACGGCTTTACTGGCAGGACCGACACCGGCCTCCTGCCTGATGGCATCCTATTTTGCTATCTCACTGCCCTCAAATCGGAGGATCTGCAATCACAGCTCAACACCCAAGACGGGAAGTAGGACACGAATAAACGGCCTTGTCACTGGTCCCTTATTGCTCTTTCCCATCCCCCCACCTCCCGCACATAGGAGGTCTGATTTATCACAGAAAATTATGGCATTCCCACATTCAGAGTATTCCCCAAAAGTTCTTAACTGCATACATTTTGATGACAATTAACGCAGAAGCGCCCAAATGATTATACGGCTTTAAATACAACAATCCAGCTGATAAATCTAGCTATAGTTTTAATTTTTATGTGAACCAATGACTAACAAAGTTCGAAAGAAGGCTTTTCGCACAGGATTCTGGAGAGTCTCACACTTCCCCTCCCCCAGGAAGGCTATGAAATATAATGGAAAGAACCCTGGACTGGGAGTCTGAAAACTGAAGTGCTGGCCTCACTTTTTAAACCTCAGTTTCCTCATCTGTCACAGGCTACTACCTCCAGGCTCCCACCGTGACCTTCCATATTAAAAAAAGAATTTTTTTTTTTTTTTTAAATTTTAGAGAGAGAGTGTGAGTGGGGGGAAAAGGACAGAGGGAGAGGGAGAAAATCTTAAGCAGGCTTCATCCTCAGCATGGAGCCTGGTGCAAGGCTCGATCCCACAACCCTGGGATCATGACCTGAGCTGAAATCAAGAGTCAGATGCTCAACTGAGACACCCAGGCACCTCTCGTGCACATTATTTTTTACCTCAGTCCTTTCTATGTGCTTCTGATTTTTGCTTACTCACGCACTACCTGAAGTCACAGTTTATACCACGAAGGTGGCTGATGCGTTTCTGAGTCTCCTTGTGGACAGAGGAAGGACAGGAGTGCAGTGATGCAAGGCCGTAAGCCCAGCCCCGTGCACCCTGGCATGGGGATCTATGCAGAGGCGGGGGGCGGGGCTGGTAACCGATCAGAGGAACAAGAGGCTCCCACTAGGTCTGAGAGACAGCTGAGCAGCAGATCTACGGAAGTGAGGTTCTCAGCCCCAAAGTCACGGTGTATTAGTGTTCAGTGGTTTGGGCCTTTTCTAATTTTTATATATTCGGTAGACAGTAAGCTCCCACTATGAGCACGAGAGAGGCTGAATAAATGTTAGATGAAAGGGAAATACTCGGAAATTCAGAAGTCACTCCAGCACTCTAAAAAACACGTGTAAATCTTCATGCAGTCCCCTTCTCCACTCTCGGCCCCGCCCTTGCTCACATCACTGGTCACTAAACGCTCACAAGAACACGTCTTTAAGCACAGTCTGACATGGTCTGCACCTCACGCAGATGTCCGTCCTGAGACGGTGTCTTTTAAAGCAGGTGCCAATCTCGAGCCCGAAACCGCTTCACTGCGTCTTCAGCTTCATGTGAGGATACGCCACAATGATGATGCCTGCTAGAGACGACACGAGGCCTCCGAGTCCAATGATGCCAGGATTGGACTTATAGATCCCCAACTGGTCCAAGGGGTTCAAGATATCGCAGAAGTTCTTCACCGTGTCCAGGAGCAAGGGAGGATGCTTCCTCAGAGACCGGAACAAGAGAAGGAGAAAGGACTGGAGCCACTCTGTCTCCTCGTCGGCCACGCTGTACCCCGGAGGGTCCTGAGGTGGTGATTTCTCCCTCTCTGCCCTGTCTCGTGTCGCCTGTTCCATCTGCAGGGAGATTTCATACAGATCCCTGGCCAGGCTCAGCAGGAGAGAACAGCAGTAATGGCGGGCAGCCCACATTCGCCATTTCTCTTTGTTAATGTCAGAGGCGAGCCCTACACTCCTCACCCAGAGGATGGTATCGCAGATGAAATAAACCACACGGTTCAAGTTGGCTAACGTTAGGCAGAGGCGGGGCACCAGGGCAGTGGTGTGAATGCTCTGCTGAGTCGCCTGTATGGCATGGACCACGTTGCCCAGCCTGAACCCTGCAAGAGGAACCCGCAACAGTTAACAAATATTTAATTGGTATGTACTATGAAGGCAGAATCCCTGCCTCAGGGTGAGGGGCCAGCACTGGTGTCTTGACAGGTGGCTGGCATGTGAGGCTCAGTCTTTGTTCAGGAATAAGGAAGGGCTTTACAGTACACGAAGGACACGGAAAATGATGCTGGAAGGCACAGAAGACAGTGACTCTTTAAATTTATCACCTCCATTCCAGTGGATACCTTAACAGTGGCTTACGATATACTTTAGGCAAGGTCAATCACGAGTGTGGATTGTGACGTTTGAATATTACCAGCTATACGTCTTTAGAAGAAAAGTACTACGATCACATGAAGTCTAGATGTACCATTGCTGCTACTATTATTATTATTTTCACATACGAAGCTTTAATTCACTGTGGGCATTTCTCTGACCCAGATGCCAGTATTCGTTTGGAGAGTCTGATGCCTCAGATTTTACTTACTTTCTAGACAAAAGATTTGCTTTTTTATAAAACGCCATTATCATCTTGCCATCTCTGTGGTTCAAACCCCCTTCAGCTCCCTACTGTCAAGAAGACAAAGTAGGATGGTAGGATGTAGTGGCTAGGGAAACTGTTCCTAGTCGAATTAAATCAACCACTGTGAGGCATATCCTTATCTGAGCATGTAATTCAATTAATCTGGGATGTATCAATCGACAAGTATTTACCGAGCACCTACTCAGAATGAGTTATAATCCTAAACGTTATGGACAATCCAAAAGAAGTACCTGTACCTTCATTAAAGGACTCTATCTTAGACTGAGCAAATGTTCAAAAGTAGCTACCCTCAAGAGACTTACCTCAGAAGAATGCCTGGGGTTACTGTGTCAATAACACAAAACAGAATATGTAATGAATAATCCTGGGTTCCAGTTCTGGCTCTTGCACTAGCTAGCTGAATGACCTTGGGTAAGTCTTTCCTGCACTTCGGAGACTAGTGAGCTCTGACACACTAGAGAATCTGAGAACTTCTAATCCTACCCTTCAAAGCCATCCAGAAAAGCTCACCCTACCTTCCAACATCCCTCTGCTGGATAACTGAAGTCTTTTCTCTGTCAAACTCGTTTCTCATTGACCTTCCAATACAACAGTTTGCTCATGAACAGTTTTGAGCCTTCACGGAGGAAATCACCCTTCAAGAAGGCTCTCCTTCCCACTCTCTCTAGCCACACCTCAAGTTCCACCTCCTCCCAAACCTTTCTTTTCCTCTATCCTAGCCAATATATTTGGCACTAAATCTTACACCATTATTTATACCGTGTAATCTTAGTTCTTTCAGAAAGCTCAGAACTATACCTAAAGCAGGTGCTCCAAAATAACTGATCAACATCTGATTTCTACATCCCATTCTAACACCTCTGCCTACCTACTGTAGCAATATCTGATTCTCATCAAACCACTAAGATTCAGCCATGCGATTGTTATTAGAAGGATGGGTTTCCCAGTACGCTTTATTATTAAAGCAAGTCAGATGAGTACAAAACACAGACTTCACTTTTGCCTTGAACATGAAACCACTCCACAGTCTGAGAACCACCTTAACCGTTTCCTCTACTAATTCCTCCAGAGAAGAAGGGAAAAGGCAAGGAAAAGGCAAGGTATTCTGTTCTAGAGAATACAAAGGCCTTCCAAGAGCCGGAAGCTCATGTCAGGGATTGCCAAAACATTGTGTAATTCTAAGAACTACAGTTGAGCTAATACACTGCATGTCTGCAGGGTGTCTGTGAATGGTCTGCAGCAAAACTTCAAACTTCTTGGCCTGTCATTTCATGAGGGCAGCCTTACTGGTCAACCTCATCAAAAAACGTGATTGATTAGTAATGAATGATCTACAGAGTATTTTGTAAATGACAAGGTCTGACGATTCGAAACCAGGAGCCACTGTCCCTCAAGAGACAGGGTACTTACATTTACGGCCAGTGCTCACACTGGACTCCAGTTTCTTGAGCTTCATTACCACGTTCTCTTTGCCAGTTTTAGGCTCTAACAAATATCTAAGCAACATGCATGTGTACTGAGTGGCTCTGAAATGGAAAACAAAAAATGAGAATGATTTATAAACCAAATAAAATTTGATTCATGAAGCAAAGAAAGGAGAAATGTGTGTTGCTAAAAGCAAAGTTTCCAAGACAATTTCTCACGTAAGCAGTTCTTACAAGAGCATAATTCTGCAACAGTGACCCCACAGGGCCAAAGGGTAGAGCATGTGATGCAAAGGTGATGAAAGGGAACTCTGCAGTTATGGTGAGCAGCCCCCCAAAACGCCTTTTGCTGGCACAGAGAAATGGATAGAGCCAAAGTGGTGAACTGCCCAAAAATCTCCCCCAGGTGAAGTCTGCAAAGATTCATATTCTTTATTTTCTCCTGTATAGTGACTTTTCAATTTCCTAAAAGGAACTTTTTATCATGTAGTTAACCAAATACTTATCTAATAGGACACCCACTCAAACCAGAACCAAACGAAAAGTTGCTTGCACACTGCTTAATTAAAAAAAAAATTTTCTTTTAATGTTCACTTATTTTTGAGAGAGAGACAGAGAGACAGAGTGCAACTGGGGAGGGACAGAGAGAGAGGTAGATACAGAATCAGAAGCAGGCTCCAGGCTCTGAGCTGTCAGCACAGAGCCCGACACGGGGTTCAAACTCACTAACCATGAGATCAGTACCTGTGCTGAAGTCAGATGCTCAACAGTGTGAGCCACCCAGATGCCCCATATTGCTTAATTTTTTAGAAAAGGATCAAATATACACCAATACGTGAATAAGCCTAGATATATTTTTATGTTTGTCTTTCAAAACTAATTAGTGTTTTATATATAGACTATTTAATACTAAATATTCAATAAAGTGATTATTGTTATGACTACAAATAATAATGCCTTACTAACACACGAGAAATTTTATATCACATAATCAAACATCTAAATGCATTTGGCAGCCTATTAACAAAGTAGGTGCCTGTTTCCTACCGTTCTGTAACTGCATTTGAATCCCTTTAGGCTACAAATATTATTCTCAATAAAAATGTGGCACATTTTCCAAAACGGTAAACTTGTTATTGAGGATGAAGTAAAAAGAATATCTTTCCCTCTCTCCTTTTTAAAGTAGCTTCCAGGGTGCCTGGGTGGCTCAGTCAGTTAAGTGTCTGACTTCAGCTCTGGTCATGATCTCACAGGTCATGGGTTCGAGCCCTGCATCGGGCTCTGTGCTGACAGCTCAGAGCCTGGAGCCTGCTTCAGACTCTGTGTCTCCCTCTCCCTCTGCCCCTTCCCCACTCGCGCTCTGTCTCAAAAATAAATAGACATTAAAAAAATTTTTTTTAAGTAGCTTCCTGGCTAGAGGGCTCAAGCCAGTCACGTCAATGGGTCCCCCTTTCTCAGACCTGGTCGAAAAACAGGAATGCCTCCAAAACCAAGGTAGTATTTTGTGAATGCCAGTTTGTTTACAGGAGCCATGGATCACCAAGGGCATTGGGAAATGAATACTAGAGATCTCAGATCTTACAGAAAAGTACATCCGAGCAATTATTTTATTAACCAACCTCACCGATAAACCTTGCAGGGCACATTCCGAGAGCACTGACATTGAAGGCTTCTATTTTAATGAAGCTTGCATACAATGCGATCATTAAAAAAGCCTATCAAATTAATTACAACAGTAGTATGGGCTGGCCGTTAAAATGGTGGGCATTGGAATCAACGTTGTGGATTTAAATCTCAGCTCTGCCACTTAGGACCTATTAACCTCTGCTTCGGTCTCCCTGTCTGTGAAAGGGGAATAATTCAGAGTATCTACCTCTTAGAGTAGTAATGAGGGTTAAATGAATGTACAGCTGTGACGCACTGAGAACAGCACCTGGCATAAAGTCAGCTTCCAAAAGTCCCAGTATTGGGGCTAGTCTTATTGGATTGTCTGTATTAGTACCTGTACACCCAGAAGAGAAGGGAATGCTGTCAAAACCTCAACCGTAACTTTTTTTTTTTTTTTATTAAGAATCAACCAAACGTCTAAAAGAAACAACATGACTTAATTAGGATTAAAGCACTATCTCTGCTTAGGATTTTCAGTAGCATGGCATGTATCTTAGAGGTGCTCTCCAGACTGTGCTCTGTTCCACAGTTCACAAAACTATTTCACACTCAGTGTCTTGCAGGGGCCAAGGGCAGGCTGCCCCAAAATGTGCCACTTTGCTATAATGATTATTTTAAACAATTCACTTAAGAAACAACGGTACAAAGACACTCAGCCCCTCCTTTGTCCCCCAGAAAGTAGGAAACACATCTCCCATGTGAAAAATACCCTCCCTCCCTGTACTAAGAAATTAAAGACCTCCTCACTCAAAAAGAAGGCTTTTATATAAATGCTTTACATAGACTTTACAAAGGCATGAATTATTTCCTATTTTAGCTAAAAATCTCTTAAGGAAAAAAAAAATCAACCTGTATTCCTTCTCTGTCCCTCAGAGTTAAGACTCTTATCATGCCTTCAAAATGTAAACACGGCCTAAGATAGCCTGAGACCGAAGAAAAAAGCAGGGGCAACTTTTTAAAATATAAGCTGCTTTGGGGGCACCTGGGTGGTTCATAGGTTGAGTGTCTGACTTCGGCTCAGGTCATGAACTCATGGTTCATGAGTTCCAGCCCTGCATCTGGTGAGTTCGAACCTCACATCTGGCTCTTCGCCGACAGCTCAGAACCTGGAGCCTACTTCAGATTCTGTGTCTTCCTCTCTCTGTCTGTCCCTCCCCTTCTTGTGTGTTCTCTCTCTCAAAAATAAACATTAATAAAATAATAATAAATAAAATATAAACTGCTTCCATAAAAAATAAAAATAAAATAAATTCTAAATAAAATTAAATTTAACTAAAAATTTAAATTTAAAAGCTTAAATAAAATAAAACTTAAACATTTAAATAAAATAAAATCTGCTAAAAAGAATATTATGCCCAGGCCTAGCAACTCTAGTAAGAGACCAGTATGTCCCAAAGAGCCCACCATAGGAGGGGCACCTGGGTGGCTCAGTTGGTTAAGCATCTGAGTCCTGATTTCGGCCCATGACCAGCCATGATCTCGTGGGTTCGAGCCCCACGTCAGGGTCCGTGCTGACAGTGCAGAGCCTGGTTGGGATTCTCTCTGTCTCTCTCTCTCTACCCCTCCCTGCTTGCTCACTCTCTAAGATAAACTTAAATTTTAAAAAAATCTTTAAAAAACCCCACTTTAGAAAAAACTTGGATACCTTCTCTATGCCTCTATGATACAAATTTTCTATCCCCATCCGCTTTAGGACCTAAGACCCATTCTTTAACATACAAACTTTAGGGGTGCTGGGTAGCTCAGTCAAACATATTAACTCTTGATTTCAGCTTAGGTCATGATCTCACAGCTCATGAGATCTCACAATCAAGTGCTGGTCAAGTGCTGTGTCAGCTACTGCACTGTCAACGCAGAGCCTGCCTGGGATTCTCTCTCTTCTACCCCTCCCCCCTTAGCACACGCTCTCTCTCAAAATAAATAAACTTTAAAAAATAAATAAAATACAGGGGCGCCTGGGTGGCTCAGTTGGTTAATCGTATGACTTTGGTTCTGGTCATGATCTCGCAGTTTGTGAGTTTGAGCCCCGTGTTGGACTCTGTCCTGGCACCTCGGAGCCTGGAGCCTGCTTCAGATTCTGTGTCTCCCTCTTTCTCTGCCCCTCCCCTGCCTGCACTCTCTCTCTCTCTCTCTCTTTCTCAAAAATAAATAAACATTAAAAAAATGTGTTAGGGGCACCTGGGTGGCTCAGTCAGTTAAGCGTCCAACTTCGGTTCAGGTCACGATCTCACAGTCCGTGAGTTCGAGCCCTGCATCGAGCCCCGCGTCGGGCTCTGTGCTGACAGCTCAGAGCCTGGAGCCTGCTTCGGATTCTGTGTCTCCCTCTCTCTCTGCTCCTCCCCTGCTCATGCTCTGTCTCTGTCTCAAAAATAAATAAAAACATTAAAAAAATTAAAAATAAATAAAAATTTTAAAAAATGTTTTAAATAATAAAAAAAACAACTTTCAAGGAAAGTAAAATGTATGTTTTTGGAAAGAAAAAGTATGAAGAACGGAAATACATTTTTGGGGGGCAAAAAAATTTTTATCCTAAAGTGAGGCTAATCATTTAAAGAGGGAAAACTTACAACAAAAATCTGAATATAAAAAAAAAAAAAAAAAAGGTTGTAGAAAGTTTAGGGAAAAGGAACCTTTGAAAACGAATTTTATATGTGGTCAGTACTGGCTAAGATTAAAATAAACTTATCTAACCATGAGTTTTAAGGGGCACCTGGGTGGTTCAGTTGGTTGAGCGTCCTCTGATCAGGTCATGATCTCGTTGTTTGTGAGTTCGAGCCCCAAATCGGGTTCACTGCTGTCAGTCTGTCAGCCCAGAGCCTGCTTCAGATCCTCTGTCCCCTGTCTCTCTACCCCTCTCCCACTTGCGCTCTCCCTCCAAATAAATACATATTAAAAAAAAAATGAGCTTTAATATCAAAAGTATACTGGTGCAAAATTAGAATTTTTCTCTTTCAAAAGGTAGAAGTTTTCAGAAACAAGTGTTGAGGATGTGGAGAAAAAGGAACTCTTCTGCACTGTTGGTGGGAATGCAATGCAAAGTGGCACAGGCACGCACTGTGGAAAATAGTATGGAGGTTCCTCAAAAAATTAAAAATAGAATTACTATATGATGCAGTAATTCCACTACCGAGTATTTACCTAAAGAATACAAACACACTAATTTGAAAAGATATATGTACTTTTATGTTTACTGCATTATTTACAATAGCTAAATTATGGAAGCAACCCAGTGCCCATCAATAGGTTAAAGGACACACACACACACACACACACACACACACACACAATGGAATATCACTCAGCCATAAAAAAAAAATGAAATCTTGCCATTTGCAACAACCTGGGGGGAATCTAGATAGTATGATGTTAAATGAAATAAGCCAGAGCCAAATACCATACGATTTCACTCATATGTGGAATTTAAGAAACGAGAGAGAGAGAGAGAGAGAGAGAGAGAGAGAGAGAGAGAGACAGAAAAGACAAACCAAAACACAGACTCTTAACTACGGAAAACAAACAGATGGTAACCAGAGGGGAGGTGGGTGGAGGGATGGGTAAAATAGATGAAGGGGATTAAGTGCACACTTATCTTGATGAGCACTCAGTAATATATGGAACCACTGAATCACTATATTGTACACCTGAAACTAACATAACACTATATTAATTATACTGGAATTGACATGAAATGAAATAAAATGAAAGGAAGAAGTTTTCTTAGGTTATTGGTTTGCTTTTTGTAAGAAATTGTAAAGAGTTTTTTACCTTTAATGTAATCTGCCTAGAAAAACAAAGATTCAATGCTTTGTCTTTATCAGATCTTTGATTATTCAAAAAAACTGAGTCTTCTTAATATTAAAAAAGCTAAGTTTTGCTTACAACTATGTAACCTTTTGTATTTGTCTTTAAAATTTTTTATTGCCTGGGTGGCTCAGTCAGTTAAGCGTCTGACTCTTGATTTCGGCTCAGGCCATGATCTCATGGTTCATGAGATCGAGCCCTGTGTCGGGCACTTCGAGGACAGTGAGGCCTGTGTGGACTGCAGGGAGCCTGCTTGGGATTCTCTCTCTCCCTGTCTCTCTGCCCTTCCCCTGCTTGTGCTCTCTCTCAAAAATAAATAAACATTAAAAAAATTTTTATTGTCACTTTAGCTAAATTGATTTTGTTTCATCATGATCTGTGATCTTATTTAATGAAATGTTTTGATATTTTTTGACAAACTTCCCAACATCAAATTCTAAAATCAAGTCTACAACTTAACTGAAATGTTCCAGAGGGTCCATGGAACATTTCAAAATATTCGGTCTTCTTTTATAAAAAAGGAGCTATTACATTAATTAGGTTTGTTGTGTTAAATTACATGAGAAGCATTGTCAAGTGATACTAAATCCTCTTAAAGTACATTTGTATAGATATGTTATTAAGATATGTGTTCTAGAAATTATATGAAACTCCTAGAAATCTGGTATGTACTGGTATAGAACTATCTTGAAGTGTTAGATGTCACAGAAATAAATTTCCTTGTCAGTTGCACTGTAATGAACTTAAAGGGGTTCATGACAGGTCCCCCCAAAATGTACCCCTTTGGCATGTGGATTATTTTGAGCTGAAGGCACTTGAGACCCTGTGTGCTCAAGGGAAACTTCTGCCCCTTCCTTAACTACATAGAATCTAAATTGAGGTTCTTTCCCAGAATAAGGGTGATTAGCAAAGATAAATTTTATCTGAATGACCCATCTGTACCGTAGGGCAAACGTCAAATTACCAAACATCTGTTCTTACCACACTGTAAAAGTACATTCCTTTCCTCTGAAGCCCCAGAGCCCTATCCCTTCTCCTTAGTTCAGAATGACATATATACCTCATCTTGCCTGCCTTTGGAATTTCCATGTCTACGTGGATCCCCCATTATCAAATTTGATTTTTTTCCTGTTAATCTGCCTCATGTCAATTTGAGGGACAGGACCTTTGAGTGGACAGGAATTCTCGCTCCCTGACAAACTCTAAGCAGATCTGTAACCATGGCCATTTTTAATTCTTTTATCATTTACAGACAGTTAATACTTTACTTGGATGCTTCTCCAAAAGCTTCCTGTAAATGTGTTTCATCTTGAGAGATTCATAAAAAGGAATTTTGACAAATGCAGGATTCTGATAATTTTAAGATCATAAAACTGAACTGGGTAAGAATGTCTGGAACTAAAGGAAAAACTGAATTTAAGCAGATCAAGAATAGCATAAACAGAGGAGGATAATTATAAGTTTAATGACATTTTTGTTTGAAATACTGACTTTTAATGTTTCGTTTTTCCAGATTTAAGAAAAGTTTTTCTCTTAAGCTATGATTCACAACAATTTATCTTTTTCTCCCTGTCTGATCCCTCTAGAATTCAAAAACTCTCATTGAATTCTTATGTTTTTTTGACAACATACTTATTTGGGTGAGTTCAATGAGAGTTTGTTCTCCTTGCACAGGACATGGTTAGAAACACGGGTTATATTACCAAGGCTTTGACTGGAATGTCACATTTGGGAGACAGGCATAAATTCAGATATGGCTAGAGAGTTTTAAGGCACTAATGGTGATCATATGGAGCCAGTAAAGCCTTTTGGAAGAAGAGCCTAATACCTTGCTTGCAGGGCTCCCAGCAGGAGCCTCTCACCAAGTGAGTAAAGGAGGACACTTCCTGGCGGGTGCAAGAACCTCAGGGTATTTGGGGGACCTCAAGAAGAGAGCAATGAACTTTAACTTATAGGTATTACAGGTGAAGTCTGATGGCAAGTATTTGGCTTGGCTTCTGGCCTCAAGAGGCTGCTTAAAGTTCAACAGCAGATTTAAGTGTTTTTCTTCTTAATGTTTATTTTTAAGAGGGGGCGGGGGGGGGGGGGAGGAGAATCTGAAGCAGGCACCAGGCTCCAAGCTGTCAGAACACAGCCCAGGGTATGGCTCAAACTCATGAACCGTGGGATCATGACCTGAGCCCAAGTTGGATGCTCAACTGACTGAGCCACCCAGCTGGCCCTGGATTTAAAAGAGCCTGTATGATTAATCACTATTTTTGCTGTACTTATGTAAATCATCAGGCCAAGTTTATCCAAACTAGATTCATTTGGCAAAGAAATTAGTCTTAATTTGGCTATCTCTAGTAAAATGAAGGTGATTATGGGAAAAAAAAAACGTTTCAGTAACACACCTCTGTGGATATTAGATTCAAATACAATTCATTATAAACTGGACTAGATCCTGATTTCCTTTTAGTTTCTTCCAATGCCTGGCTACAATTCTTCAAACTAGTATTTTTGATATTTTCTATCTGTTTGACTTGAAATCATTTGATAACTAAGACCACCCTTTTCCCCCAAGCCCTGCAAACTGAGTATGAACAACTTGATGAGCACTTCAGAAAAAGCCCAACAGCTCATACGTAAACGATCTTCGTGCCTGGTGCTCTATGGGCCACTCGAAATGATCACCAGAGACACTCAAGTTACAAACCAAGAAACTCCACCAGATTGCCACTGCCTGCCCTCACTTTATGTAAAGATGCTTTCAGCGTGACAACTAGAAACCCTCTGGACTGGCTATATTCAGGACTCAGAAACTGGTTTTACAACTTGATCCAATCACTGGTCATTATTTTTCTTTTAATTTCCAGAGAAAGGCCTTATTTATTACCTGGATAACTGAACCACAGGCCTAACTGTGAGAACACACTTGTATCACCGCCTCCCGAAGTGAGTTTAACTAAAACGACCTATCCTCAGAAACTAAGACACTGGTTCAAGCAGACGGGACAATTTATCAGCTCAACTTTTAAAGCAAGAAAACTTCCAGGGAAGTTTCAGAAAAGGGAACCGTAGAGGCCAAGGGTAGGCCACCCCAAAATGTGCCACTTTGGCATACAAATTAAATAAAAATTACTTAAGAAACAGCGGTTCAGAGACTCCTCTGTCACCCAGAAAGCCGGAAACACATCTTCCATGTGCAAAATACCCTCCCTGTACTAAGGAAGTAAAAGGACATCCTTGTCGCCAGAGATAGGGACTTCAAAACAGAGAAAGCTTCAGAAACGAACCTGGTTACTTTTTTTCTAACCCTACCAACTCAGCCTAAATTCTGTTTAGGATTCCCTCCTAACTGAAGTTTCCAAACACCTGCTTTCTTTATCCTGTCGATTCCTCATAAATGTATTGTCTCTTGTGTCTCAAAAGAAGAAAAAAATCCCTGCCTTGGTCATTTCTTCAGGTCTCAATACCAGCCACTGTGCACACATCCTTGATTTTTTTGTTTTTTGATTTTTCCTCCTGTGAACCTGTTTTGTGTAAATTTAATTCTTTGGCTGGCTGAAAGACCTTGAAGGTAGAGGAAGAATTGTTCCTTCCCTACAATCTCAATGAGGTAGGCAGGACGATGATAAAAGATAAATACAATTTCTGTGTCTCCATAAGCGTTTCATGGGGTATTTGAAACCACAGCCAAGGGGTTGGCTTCCCTGGCCACAAATGCCAACCCAAAGTTCATCTTATAAAATTCCTGGTGGGGGGTGGCGGTGGGGGATGGGGAGATGGGGGAGTGCTGGGTGGCTCAGTCGGTTAACCTCCAACTTGGGACTTGAGCTCAGGTCATGATCTCAGTTTGTGGGTTCGAGCCCTGAGTTGGGGCTTTGCGCTGGCAGCCGAGAGCCTTGCAGCCTGCTTCAGATTCTGTGTTTCTCTCTCTCTGCCCCTCCTCTGCTTGTGCTCTCTTTATCTCAAAAATAAACATTAAAAAAAAAAATCCTGGCGGGGACACCTGGCTGGCTCAGGTGTAGCGGTGGAGCGTGGGGCTCTTGATCCTGGGGGGTGTGAGTTCGAAACCCATGGTGGGTGTAATGATTACTTAAAAAAAAAAAAGAGAGAGCTGGGGGACTGGTCCACCACGGTGAGGGCCTCGGAGGCTGCTGGGAGGAGGCTCCGCCGGAGTCCCGCAGAGTGCCAGAGAGGGGCCGGAGAGCGGCTCCAGAAACGAACTCGGTCCCTCCTCCCGGGCCGAACGACACGGGACCAGCTCGGGTTGCGGCACCGGGAAGGAGTGAAGGCCGCGGGCTCCTGACTCACCTGAAGAGTCGGTCCCGACCCTGGGTCTGGTTGGTGAAGCGGGTGAAGGCATCCATGACGCCCAGCCGAGGCCACGTGCCACCCGCGGCGCAGTCTCGAGTCCTCCAGGGTGTCGCCGGGTCCCCCGCGGGACAGATTGAGTCTCCCCGCCCCCGTGGGGGCGGGTGCGCCTCCAGACCAGGGACTTCGCGGACTTCCGGTGGCGGCCGGAAGTGGCGGTTACTAAGGCGACGCCAAGCTGCCGGCGCAGGTGAGCGGAAGCTCGGCATTTGGGCTGGGGTTCAGCGGTTCCCCGCGTGTCCCCAGACGCCCTTTGATATCTAGGGTCTCCTAGAGGGGGGCTTTGCGGGACGGGGGGCCGTCTCCCCAGCCACCGGCGTTCCCGGAAACCCTGGGAACTCAGAAAAAACCCATGTGGCATCCTGAATGCAGATTCCCTTCAGGTTTTGCTTGGGGTCTTTGGGGCCGCATCATTTCCCACCTCTGTGCCTCGGTTTCCCTTGAGGAACAGCAGCTCCAGGTCTGGGGAAGGAAATGGTTAGAGCAGAGATAAGCCAGTTTGTGGCATGTGTTTCTAGCACGGAGACCTGGGTAAAGTGAGAGAATTGTCTGCTAGGTTTATTGAGTACTGTAAGAAGATTGCTACTTGAGGAAGTCCTAGAAGTGCTAACATGAACACAGTGGAGGCAGAAGTTAATTATGATGAAACTGCACCACTGAATGGCAGTTTTCTGGGGCCTGAAGATGTGAAATCCCACCCCTTCCATAGCAGTAATTTTATAATGTACCCCCTGTAATCAAAAAGTAAGGTGAGCTATTTTTGTAATCTTTATTCCCTTTGTCAGGCCTGCCCTTAACATTTGCAGGCCCCGGGGTAGGACTACAAATAGAGACCCACATACCATATGTTAATTAATTAATTAATTAATATTAAAGATTTTATTTTTTAAAATTTATTTATTTAGAGAGTGGGGGAGGGGCAGAGAGAGAGAATCCCAAGTGGACTCTGTGCTGTCAGTGCAGAGCCTGATATGGGGCTTGATTTCACAAACAGTGAGATCATGGCCTGAGCTGAAATCAAGAACCTAATGCTTAACCAACTGGGCCACCCAGGTGCCCCAAAGATTTTTTTTTAACTCATCTCTACACCCAAAGTGGGGCTCAGACCCATGACCCCAAGATCAAGCCTCCTGTGCTCCACTGACTGAGCCAGCCAGGCGCCCCACACATTCCATACGTTTAAATATTTAGAAGTTTTAAGTCAAGGTAACCCAATTGTCACATTAGATATGTTCTGTTCTTCTACCTTGTCTTCTACCTTCTACCAGTTTCACATTCAGAAGTCTTGGGCTCCAGCAATAGCACTATTAGGAATTTATCCAAAGGATACAGGAGTACTGATTCACAGGAGCACAGGTACCCCAATGTTTATAGCAGCACTCTCAACAATAGCCAAATTATGGAAAGAGCCCAAATGTCCATCAACTGATGAATGGATAAAGAAGATGTGGTGTATATATACACAATGGAATACTACTTGGCAATGAGAAAGGATGAAATCTTGCCATTTGCAACAACGTGGATGGAACTGGAGGGTAATTCTGCTAAGTGAAATAAGTCAGAGAAAGACAGATATCGTATGTTTTCACTCATGGAATTCGGGAAACTTAACAGAAGACCACGGGGGAAAGGAAGGGGAAAAATAGTTTCAAACAGAGAGGGAGGGAGGCAAACCATAAGAGACTCTTAAATACAGAGAAAAAACTGAGAGTTGATGGGGGGGGGCAGGGTAGGTGGGAATATGGGTGATGGGCATTGAAAAGGGCATTGGTTGGGATGAGCACTGGGTGTTGTATGTAAGCGATGAATCATGGGACTCTACTCCCAAAGCCAAGAGCACACTGTATACACTGTATGTGAGCTAACTTGACAATAAATTATATTAAAAAAAAAAAAGGAATTCTTGGGCTGCTTGGAATACCTGGAAACACAGCTGGAATATGGTACTGTGGGGAGAGCTGGCCCCCTGGTCCTTTCCCACACCACTCTTCTCATTCCTGGCTGCCATTCACATCACTGAGAGGGGCCTTACATGCAATGTGTGGATATTCCAAGCCACATCCAAGTTCTGCCCCTGCCCCTGCAAATAGCCATGCCTTGGCCATCTTTCACGTCTAGGGGTGCACACATTAGCATCTGGGCCTAACCTCAAGAGAAAGCTGGGAAAGAAGTTTGTGCAGGCCTTGGCATCATCTGGGCAGTAAATTTCAGGGGTATAGGTACCTGAACATGGTCTAGACTCCCGAAGAGTGCATCTAGGCTCTGGGTGGGTATAATCTCTTGGCCCCACAAATTACTCATCCTTTTCAGAGGGAAGTGCTTGGGAGAGAGACAGAAGTATCCTCTAAATTTATGTCCCAGGGTAGGGCAATACTGCAGGCAAATTTATTGAATGTTAGCCATGTCCCGACCACTGTGCTAAGCTCTCAGCCTAAGGTAAAAGGTTAATGGGGGCCACGAGTAAACAGTAAACACAACACAATGATACGTTAGATGATAAAGGTGAGCACAGGATGCTTCTTTTTTTTTATTTTTTTTTCAACGTTTATTTATTTATTTTTGGGACAGAGAGAGACAGAGCATGAATGGGGGAGGGGCAGAGAGAGAGGGAGACACAGAATCGGAAACAGGCTCCAGGCTCTGAGCCATCGGCCCAGAGCCTGACGCGGGGCTCGAACTCACGGACCACGAGATCGTGACCTGGCTGAAGTCGGCCGCTTAACCGACTGCGCCACCCAGGCGCCCCAAGCACAGGGTGCTTCTAAACACAGATTTATATAGTCTGTTCTCCATACCTATAATTCTGCTTTTTCATAACATCAAATTGAATCATGTAGTATGTAGGTTTTTCTATCTGATTTTTTTCACTTAGCATAATCAGTAGTTTATAACTTTTTATTGTTAACTAGTATTCCATTGTATGGACCTACCATAGTTCATTAACTCTTCACGCACTGAAGTGTGTGTTGTTTCTAGCTTGGGGCAATTATAAATAAAGGTGCTATAAATATAGCACAGTACAGATTTTCATATGAAATGTTAAGTTTTTCTTGTGTAATATGTAGGAATGGAATTCCTGAATCATAGGACGAGTGTATGTTCAACTTTGTGAGAAACTGCCAGACTATTTTCCAAAGTGGCTGTGCTATTTTGTATGCCCACCAAATATGGGATAGACTGTTTGCCTATTGATAAACATTTGTTGTTTCCAGTTTGGGGCTCCTACTAATAAAGCCATGATGAGCATTCATGTAGAAGCCTATGTGTGGATGTGTTTTCAGTTCCCTTATATCATACTGAGGAGTGGGATGACTGGCTATAGTGGTAGGTAGTATGTTTAACTTTTTAAGAAGTTACTAAACTGTTTTCCAAACTGATTGTACCATTTTACCTTCCCAACAGTAGTTGGAGGAATCCCGGGTCCTCCACATCCTTGACAACGTCCTAATACACATGTATTGTGCTTGTAATTTCCATTTCACTAATGACATGGAACATCTCTTCGTGTGCCCATGTCCATCGGTTACATCTTCTTTGGTTAAGTGCGCAAACCTTTGGCCCATTTGAAAGAATTGAGTCATTTCTTATTACTGAGTTTTAAGAATGTGCAAAATATTCTGGACACAAGTAATTTATCATATATATGACCTGCAACCGTTTTCTCCCAGACTGTGGACTATCTTTTATTCTCTAAATGGTGGTTTTTGTAAAACATACACGTATTTCTGAAAGGTTTAAGTTACCCATTTCCTCTTTTATGGATTGTGCTTCAATGTCATATCTAAGAAATCTTTGTCTAACTGAAGATTGCACAGGTTTCCTGCATATTTTCTTCCAGAAGTTACATAGTTTAAAATTTTACATTTTGGTCTATGATCTACTTTGAGTGAATTTTTGTATATGCTGCAAGGTATAGATCAGAGTTCATTTTCTTTTCCACGTGGATACTGAATTGCTGCAGCATTATTTATTGGAAAAAAAAAACTATCCTTTTGCCACTGAATTAGCTTTGCGCCTTTGTCAAAAATAAGCTGTCTGTTCATATGTGAGTCTAATTCTGGACTTTTTATTTGGTTCCACTGATCTATTTGTGTAGCTTGATGTCAATACCACACTGTCTTGATTACTGTAGTTTATAATAGTCTTGAACTAGGTAGTGTTGGTCCTCCAATTCTGTCCTTTTTTTCCTAAGTTATTTTGGCTATTCTAGGTACTTTGCATATCCATATGAATTATAAAATGAGCTTCTTAATTTCTTAAAAAAAAAAAAAAAGTCCAGCTGGGACTCTCATAGGGATTGTGTTGAATTTTAGATTTGGGAAGAATTGACATCTTAACAAAACTGAGTCTTCTAACCCGCAAAGTATCTCAACCCATTTACTTAGGTCTCCTTTAATTTCTCTCAGCAATATTTTACAGCTTTAAGTGTACAGTTTATACAACTTTTGCCAGGTTTATCCCTATATAATACTTTTGATACTATTATAGTATTTTTTAATTTCAATTTTTGATTTTTGTTGCCAGTATATAGAAATACAGTAGGTTTTTGTATATTGAACTTATATCCTGCAACCTTGCCAACATCATTTATTAGTTTTAGATTTTTTGGTAGCTTTCATCAGATTTCCTATGTAGATAATCATATTGAATAGGAATAAAGACAGCTTTATATCTTCCTTTCCAATCTGGGTAAAACAGCTTCATCGCCCTCCCCAAGCCCCCCTCATCCTATCCTTTTTTTAAATAATATTCTTCCTCCACCCATAACTCCTGGCAACTACTGATCTGTCCCCCATTACTCATTTTGTCTTTCCTAGAATGCCATATAAATAGAATCACTGCACATAAATTTTGAGACTGGTTTCTTTCACTGAGCGTAATGTCTTTGAGATTCATCCATATTTTTGTATGTCAGTAGTTTTTTACTTTTTATTACCAAGGAGTATTCCATTACGTGGATACACCACTGTTGATTTACCCACTTACCCAGTGAAGGCTATTTGGATTGTTTTTTTATTTTTGGCAATTGTAAGTAGAGCCACTGTAAACATTTGTGTACAGGCTTGTGTGTGAGTATTCATACTCCTGGAGTAGATACCCAGGAGCGCACTTGCTGGGTCATAGAGTAAAATATATGTTTCACTTCATAAGAAACTGCCAAATCCCTTTCCAGGGTGGTATCATTTTGTATTCCTGCCCACTTACTCTGCATCTTTATTAGTATTGTCAATACTTTCTTTTTTATTTTAGCCATTCTAATAGGTATGTGTAGTGATCCATAAGTTATTAAGAAGTGTGTTATTTTTGAGGTTTTGCATCTTTCTAAATATCTGTTATTGACTTCTAAAATAATTCTGAGTGGTCAGAAAACATAATTTGTATGACTTGAGTACTTTTAAATTTATTAAGACTTGGCTTACAGACCCGGATATGATGTGTCTTGGTAAATGTTTCATACGTACTTAAAAAAGAAGCTGAACACTGCTGTCGTTGGCTAGAGTCTTCTAGAACACTGCTTCACTGCTCTCTCACTGGTGCTTTCCTTCAGGAAATCTGCTGCTCTCCTGTATTTTGCTCCTTTATTCACATCTTTTTTTTTTCCCCTCTGGCTGCTTTTCAAAATGTGTCTTTATCGCATCTTTAGTTTTGATCACGATGTGCCTTGGTATAGATTTCTTCATGTTTCATTTCCTTAGGACTTGTTTTTCTTCTTGGATCTGTGAGTTTATAGTTTTTATCATATTTAGAAATATTTTGTCTATTTCTACAGATTTTTTTTGTTTCTTCCCTCCTTTGGGGATTTCAATCATACATATTAGGGAACTTCAGGTAACTCCCACACCTCACTTCATTTTTTCTGGTTGTTTCTATTGCTGTATCTTCAAATTCACTAATCTTCTAATTTATTTTGCTCTGAAAGTTTGTGATTAATCAAACGTGTTCTTCATCTCAGACACTGTAGTTTTCATCTCTAGAAGTTCAGTTGGGGTGGGGCACCTGGGTGGCTCAGTCAGTTGAGGGTCCGACTTCGGCTCAGGTCACGATCTCGCAGCTTGTGAGTTCGAGCCCCGTGTCAGGCTCTGTGCTGACAGCTCAGAGCCTGGAGCCTGCTTCAGATTCTGTGTCTCTGTCCCTTCCCCACTCATGCCCTGTCTGTCTGTCTCTCTCAAAAATAAATAAACATTAAAAAGTTTAAAACTAAATAAATAAAAGTTCAGTTTGGGTTACTTTGTACCTTCCACATCTCTACTTGACTTTTCCTCTTTGTTTTTGAACATGTGGAATATATATATATGTGTGTGTGTGTGTGTGTGTGTGTGTGTGTGTATAATGGGTGTTCTGGTTAGTTGAAGACTATACAGAAAGTCTTTTATATTCTGTTGTTTATATATATATACATATATATATACTGTTTTTTCCCTGCTACTTCTAATAGCTGTGTTGACTATGACTCAGCTTCAATTAATTGACTTTTCTCTTCATTATGGGTGTGTTTTCTTGCCTCTGAATGCCAGGTAGTTTTTTTATTGGATCCCAGACATTTCCTTCATTAGATGCTGGATATTTCTGTATTCCTCTAAGTATTCTTTTTTTTTTTTTTAATTTTTTTTTCAACGTTTTTATTTATTTTTGGGACAGAGAGAGACAGAGCACGAACGGGGGAGGGGCAGAGAGAGAGGGAGACACAGAATCGGAAACAGGCTCCAGGCTCCGAGCCATCAGCCCAGAGCCCGACGCGGGGCTCGAACCCACAGACCGCGAGATCGTGACCTGGCTGAAGTCGGACGCTCAACCGACTGCGCCACCCAGGCGCCCCTCCTCTAAGTATTCTTAAGCTTTGTTTTGGTATGCAGTTATTTATCAGTCGTTTGATCTTGTAACTTCTAAGACTGGATTGGCAATGCCAGAGCAGCATTTATTCGAGGGCTAATTTTCCCCGCTACTTGGCAAGACTCTTCTGAGCACTCCACCCAAAGCTTGTGAATTACGAGGCTTTCCATTCTCCCTGGTGGAAACAGGCATTACCCCTGGCCCTGTGGGAGCTCGGTTTACTGTCCCTACCAATTCTTTCAGGTGGTTCTTTTCTCTCATATTCAGACACCTGGCTCCTCTACCCATGCGCCGGAAACATCACAGGTGTACCCTAGCAGGTGAGGAAAGATGACGGCCGCGGGTTTTCACAAGACTTCCACGGCCTCCAGTGCTGACAGTGCAGGACCCCACTCTGCTACATGTTACTCATCTTAAAACAGACCCCATGTGCCACATTAAATGGCTTTATTTAACTATAATATTTGAAAGCCTTTTTTATAATTCGTACAGGTTTGAGTCTTATAAAGTACAGAAACATGATGCCCACATGCAGGCTGGAGCCAGAAAGTTGCAACATTTTTGTGAATGACGAACAGTTTTGATCTTGTGGGGGTTTTGTTTCCTTTTAGTCAATTTTCAAGTCTCAAACATTTCTGTAGACCCTAGAAAAATCTCACAGGCCCTGGGCACTGTGCCTACAGAACTCCTGGTTGGTAGCTGTGGGCTTAGAGAGAAAGGAGCAAATGAGACAGCAAGGATTAGAAGTGCTTAACGGCATCTGGTCGGAGGTGAAAGAAACGAAGGAGAGCAGACGTGGCTCGCTACCCAGCTGGCCTGGGCACAGCCATTTGCGGAGATGGAAGAAGCAGGAGAACGTAGGGGGTAGGCTGGCTTCTAGTTGGGACTGAGACGGACGCTCTCTTAGCAGAAGGAGAAGGGCAACAAGAATACCTAATTCCTCTCCCTGCACCATAGTGCACACACGTCATCTTGGGCTAGCCTGGAAGATGCGACTTGTCAATACCCGTTTCTGCTGCTCTCCTTACTGATATGAAAAGCATATATCCATACTAACATGATACCCATACTAATATGAAGGGCCCTGTGGTAAATAAGGAAAGTGCCCGTCTCTAGAATAAACAGTCCCCATGGGCCTGTTTTTGTGCTAGAAGGGATGACTTCTGTCTGTCTTCTGGTAACTTGCCCTGTTTCTCAAAGTTCCTTCGCTTGCTTCCTTTATCAGCTTTTCAGAGTTTCATAGAAGTTTCCAGGGCCAGCTTCTGTGATGTCATCCCCCGGAGGAAGTCAAGTCCGTAAGATGAGGCTCTCCAGCTTTGTACGAAAGGTGCTGCTGGAGGTGCCGTCCCCAACAGAGCAGGACTGGCCTCAGGACGATGAAAAGGATTTTGCCTTCAAAGATTCAGAACAGGAGCTGGAATCCCTGCCTCAGCCTTACCGAATGATCAACAAGATGGTGAACCTTCTGTTTGACCAGGCTTGGGAAGTGATCATGAAGAGGGATGCGCTGAGGGAAGCGGAGCACGGCCGGGTCCAGCCCACCATCTACCTTCCGCTTGTAGAAAGCAAGGTATGGAGCCGCCGACCAGGAGTCCCTGTTTCCCAGCTGAGTACTAATAAATGAAAACGCCTGATCCGGGGAAGGAATTCCTCCAAGGATCCTTCATTCAATAAGACAGGGGCATTTCTGAAAGATTATAAGCATGCTGTCGTTGATTAAAATGGGTCTCGCAATTGCCCCGGGGAAATGGATATTCTGGTTAGTTGAAGACTATACAGAAAGTCTTTTATATTCTGTTGTTATTTAAAAACACTTCTGAGGGGCGCCTAGGTGGCTCAGTCGGTTAAGCGGCCGGCCGACTTTGGCTCAGGTCATGATCTCACAGTCCGTGAGTTCCAGCCCTGCGTCGGGCTCTGTGCTGACAGCTCAGAACCTGGAGCCTGTTTCAGATTCTGTATCTCCCTCTCTCTGACCCTCCCCCGTTCATGCTCTGTCTCTCTCTGTCTCAAAAATAAATACATGTTAAAAAAAAAAATTAAAAAAAAAACACTTCTGAATATATTAATCACCCTTTTGCTTGATGGTTGAGAATCTGCCAGTGCCTCAGCTATAGCTCTTTCTGCAGTGTTCTAGATGAAAAAAGTACAGGGAATGGGACCACTTGTCCACTTCTCAGAGGGCTCATGGTCAGGGTCAGTGTTGTGAATGTGTACTTGTTTTCTCTGGCTCCTTTCCCCTAAAAGTAGAATGCTATGACTGTCTTGATGCTTGGGCAAGATATTTATTTTATTAAAAAAAAAATTTTTTTTTTCAACGTTTATTTTTATTTTTGGGACAGAGAGAGACAGAGCATGAACGGGGGAAGGGCAGAGAGAGAGAGGGAGACACAGAATCGGAAACAGGCTCCAGGCTCCGAGCCATCAGCCCAGAGCCCGACGCGGGGCTCGAACTCACGGACCGCGAGATCGTGACCTGGCTGAAGTCGGACGCTTTACCGACTGCGCCACCCAGGCGCCCCTTGGGCAAGATATTTAGATGAGCTCTATTTGGGGTGATACTATATCCAGGAAGGACCCGCATGCCTCTCTGAAAAATCAGCTCATATTCTTGCAGATGGGGGCAGCTGAAAAGCATTCCTTTCTTCTTTGTTTTTGTTTTCCCAGCTCAACAAAATGCCAAATTGTATGGCTGTTTCCCAAGACTATGTGTTCATTGGAGGAGCCAAAGGGTTCTCCATCTATAATCTGTACGATGCTAAACGACTGTATATTTGGGAGAAACTTAAGGTTGATGTCACTTCCATCTGGGCCGCAGATCTGGGCAGTGAAATACTTGTTGCTCCTGTGGATGAAACAGGTACTCGTTCGTTTTATTTATTTTTTAGCCTAATTTATAAGTGTCTATAGACCATTCAACTAAATCTCCCTTCCAGGTATGGGTGAGGCCAGACATGGAGAATTCTCCCTGACCACGTAGCATTAACTAACGTCTACAGAACAGGATGGTGTGCCAAGCACTATTCTAACATTACACATAGGATGGCCCATTTAACACTGACAACAGCCCTAGGAAATAAGTACAATTTATTATCCCTGTTTTTCAGAAGAGGCATCTGAGGCACTGAAGTTAAATAACTCACTTGAGGTAACATAGAAGGTAAGGGGTACAGGCAGGATTTGAACCAGCCAACGTGGACCCAGAGTCCCCACCCTTTGGGTATTCAGAAATCTTGCTGCTCATAGAAACCAGGGATTGGTTCTTTTCCCTCAGCTTGAGGATGAATCAGGCCTTCATGAGGACTATTGTATATGGAACCATAGAGAGTCTTGGAGGGCCCTGTTTCTACAGGAGAGTGACCTGACCAGATTGGCATTTTAGGAAGGACACCATGGTAGCAGTCTGAAAAGTCAAAATGAGAGGCAGAGATGTGGTTTTGCAGTAGTTTGCTGGTCCAGGGTTGCAATTCTCTACTATTCCCGAATAAACCCATCTTTTGCTGCTTAAAAAAAAAAGAAAAAGAAAAAAAAGGGCAGGGAGGGAAACCAAGAAGAAGCGTTGCATTCATCGAAGAGAGAAACTATGAAGTTCTGAACCAAGGCACAGGCTGGTAAAATGAAAAGAAAAATGGTGCTGTGTTCATGTAAGATGTTATCACGGGGGAAGTGATGTGAGCGATATATGGGAACTCAACTATTTTCGCAACTTTTCTACAAGCCTAATATTAGTTCAAAATAAAAAGTTTAAAAAGCAAAAAGGTAAACATAATGGCAAAACTAGGCCAGCAGTGGAATATGCGTAGGGGGTAGGTGAGCAGGGATGTGAGTGGGGAGGTGAGAAAAACGGTCCTCCTCTCTGCCTTAGATAATGGGGTGGACGATGATGCCATTCCTTGACAGCAGTCATAGGGGAATAAGGCTTCAGCGGTCTGAGCTGACCACACGCAGCCCTGGGACAGCAGGAAGGGGAATATTGATACTCAGGAGGAGTGGGGCCTAAAGATGGGATCGCATCTATCACGCTGCATTATGTCTACTTGCTTTCACGTCCGTGTGACCCTCAGTGCAGTGCGCTTGAGGGAAGAGAGTGCCTTGGCTGTCCCTGGGACATTTGTGGTCATGGAGCAGATATCCCTCAGATGTTTAGTGGGTTGAGTTAGACCTGCTCACAGGGTGGGCCCTTTGCCTTTGCCCTTCTGGAGTATGGGTATTGGGGCAAGTTATGAGTGTTTTCCAGAGGCTTCCAGGACAAGAGGATGGGCCAGTGTTGGTAGGGAGGATCCAGGAGGGAGAACAGCCTGAACACGTCATGAGAGGGGTGGAGGAAAGCAGGGAGACTGAGATCAGCAGGGGCTGTGGAGGGGCCAGGAGGAGGCCTAAGGACCCATGAGCACACAATGAGAATTCAGAAAGTCAGATATAAAATGCCAGTTCTTCTCTGACTCAATGGTCTGTCACTGATTTTTCCGTTTCAGGTATCGCTAGACTGTTTTATTTTTGTAAGGATGGTCTTTTCCTAATCAAAGCCATCAATGAAGTGGTAAGTTCCTGTTCTTTTCCCTGTGGCTGGGCTAAGAGCTGTAGCAGATGAAGTTTACTTTTAATATAGAGGTGACGACAGCTGTCCTAGAGTAGAAAGATAGCGACTCTCTGGACAGAGCACCTCCTCTAAGAGATCCGATTAAAAGATGCCCCGCCATCCAAGGGCACATGCTGAATGCCTTGGATTCACTTACCATGTTGTCCAGAGAAGACGCTTACTAAGGAACTCCAGTCCAGATTGAGCACCAGACCGACACATTCAACAACTACTTACAGGTCCCTGAATTTTCCAGGCTGCTTCACATCCTGTTCCCTCTGTTGGGAGTATTCTCCTTGCCTCCCTGCCTACCATGTGCGCCTGTTAAATCTCCCTCCTTCCTTACATTTCCCTCAAGACCAGCTCAAATATATCCTCTGAGATACTTTCCCTCTTATGCCCCAAGGACCCGGTCTCTCCCTCCTCTGTCTACCCCCATACGGCACGACTTTCTGTCACAGTGTTTTCTCCACCATCCATCCTATTTGTTTGTATGACTGCTTCTTCTCTTGGACGTAACCTTCTTGAGGGCAGGGGACACTATTCACCCATGCCTCCCTTGCTCCTAGCACACTACCTGTATTCAGTGGGTTCTCAGAAAGTGTTTTGTGACTCAATGAACCCACCATAAAATTTTTAATTGCCTTATAAAAAATACCATTGTCTTATAAAGAATACCATTGATGGGCATCAAAGAAAGTCAGTGGGGAAGAGAAAGTATTTTCAACAAATGATGCTGGAATGCTAGAATAATATGTGGGAGGGATGGGGCACCTGGGTGGCTCAATCGGTTGAGCGTCCGACTTTGGTTCAGGTCATGATCTCATGGTTTGTGAGTTCAAGCCCCGCATCAGGCTCGCTGCTGTCAGCACAGAGCTCGCTTTTGATCCTCTGTCCCTGCCTCTTTCTCTCTGCCCCTTCCCCACTCATGCTCTCTCTCAAAAATAAAAATAAACATCAAAAAAAAAAAAAGTGGGAGGGAAAATGAACCTCAGCCCTACTTTACACCATATATAAGAATTAATTCGAAGTGTGCCTGGGTGGTTCAGTTGGTTGAGTGTCTGACTTCAACTCTGGTCATGATCTTGTGGTTCATGGGTTCAAGCCCCGTGTCGGGCTCGGCACTGACAGCTCAGAGCCTGGAGCCCGCTTCTGATTCTCTGTCTCCTTCTTTCTCTCTCTGCCCCTTCCCCACTTGTGTGCCCGTGCTCGCTCGCTCTCTCTCTCTCACACAAAATAAATAAATAAACATTTTTAAAAGAATTAATTTGAGATGGATTATAGGTCTAAATGTAAAGGTTTCTTGAAGAAAACACAAGAAAATATATTTGCTACAATATTTCTTAGGACATGAAGAGCACTGAATATAAAAGAAAAAATTGGTATTGGACTTCATCAAAGTTAAAAACTTCTTATTCTCACAACAAACACAAAAATTAACTTGAAGTGGGTCATATGTCTATATGTAAAATCTAAAATCATAAAACCTCTAGAAGAAAACATAAGAGAAAGTCTTGTGACCTGGGGTTAGGCCAGAAAGTTTTAGCTACAACATCAAAAGCACAACATACAGGAAAAAACTGACAAGTTGTACTTCATCTAAATTTAAAACTTCTTCTGTAGATGACACTGGTAAAAGAATAAAAAGACAAGCAATAGACTGGGAGAAAATAATTGTAAATCACAGACCTGAGAAATGACTTGAATCCCAAACACGTGATGAACTCTCAAAACACAAACTCAAAAATGAAGGATTAAAAAGCTTTTAAAATGGGCAAAGGATTTGAAAAGAAAAGACAGCTGACCAAAGAAGCTATTTGGAAAGAGAGTAAGATGCTCCACATCCTTAGTCATTGGTGAAATGCAAGTCAAGATCATGATGACCTACCACCGTGCATGTATTAGCCTGGCTAAAATTAAAAAGACCGACCATACCAAGTGCTGACAGGGACACAGACACAGAACAGCTGGAACTCTCGTGCACTGCTGGTGGTCAAGTATAACGGTACAATCGTTGTGGCAGGTTTTATTTTTTTAACTAATTAATTCATTTAATGTCTACGCCCAGCACTGGGCTGAAACTCACAACCCCGAGATCAAGGGTTGCTCACTGTACTGCCGGAGCCATTCAGGCATCCCTTTGGCAGTTTTTTTTGAAAAGTTAAACGTACGCCAACCATACAATCCAGGCATTCCACGCCTTGATATTTACACAGGAGAAATAAGAGCATGTCTCCATGTAGATACGTGCACATGACTGTTTGTAAGCAGCTCTACGCGTAAGAGCCAAAACCCAGAAACACCCAAAAGTCCATCAGCACGTGAGTGGATAAGCCAATTGCGGTATGCCCACACGATGGAATGAACTATTAATATTCAGGCACATGACGATGTGGTTGCATCTTAAAATAATTACGCCGAGTGAAAGAAATCAGAAACAAAAAGAGTACATACTGAATGATTCTATTTATATAAAATTCTAGAAAATGCAAACTAAGGTAGCGACGGAGAGCATCAGTTTTTGCCTGGGGTGCGGTGGGAGGAAGGTGGAAGGAATGATTACCAAGGGCAGGATGAAACTTTTGGGGGTGATGGATATGTTCACGGTCTTGTGATGGTTTTAAGGGATATACATATGTTGAAACGTCAAATTGTACACTTTCAACGTGTATAGTTCGGGGGGTGTCTGGGTGGCTCAGTCGGTTAAGCCTCATGATCTCACAGCCACGTGTCGGTCTCTGTGTTGACGGCTCAGAGCCTGGAGCCCGCTGCAGATTCTGTGTCTCCCTCTTTCTCTGCCCCTCCACCTCTTGCTCTTTCTCTCTCACTCAAAAATAAATAAACATGAAACGTGTAGTTAGTATATGTTATTATATTTCTAATAAAGCTGTTTAAAAAGAATTAAAACTCCTCATCAAAAGATGTTATTAGAGTTCACTCTGTAGCAGGAACTAACTGGAGCCCTGAGAGCCTTGAGCAGCCCCCCTCCCCCACCACTGCCAGCACCAGCCCAGTGACCCTCACACCCCAGGAGGAGCCACCGCTGTCACAGCTGGCCCCAGACAGCATGAGCACAATCCCGAGCAGTGAGGCGGAGGCCCCTGCCCACACCACCTGCCGTGTTGCAGGGAGCACTGGCACCTGCTGGCGGGGACAAGGAGGTCATGGCAACGATGGTTAGGGAACAGTCAGATGGCTCCATATGGAGAACAGACAGGGTTTCATCAGCAGGAAAGACACCAAGGAGGATGTATTTGGATGGTAGATTGCCATAGAGAGTAACCCCAGGAAGGGTCCTTTCAGTGTAGGAGATGGCGAGACGGTGAAGTTTGGTACTGTTGGAGGAGAAAGTGTGTGAGGCAGCAGGTGTTAAGTCCCTGGTGGAGTTCAGCATAAGACAGTACATCTGTAGGGGAACACAGCCACTGTGAATGCTGTCCCCGTCTACGGCTAGACCTCCATGCAATCACCAGCAGGATCCCACCTAGTGAGAGTGGGGGAAGGAATGAGGGGTCAGAAGGTGCCCCTGAAGGTCAGGCCCCGCAGCATTGGGCCCGGTGCAGGCAACAGTCCCTACCTGTGTACAGGCAGAGACCCGCCATACCACACCAACCCTCCTGCGCAGGGAGAATGGATGGAGGGGGTTGACAAGCAGGGCGCAGAACCAGGTACGCCAGTGAGAGAATCTGTATTGGGGGAAAATCAAGATGAGAGCCAAGGTCAGCAGCCACCTCAACCCCGCAACTTCTGTTACTAATGCAAACGCCCAGAAAACCTAAGCCATAAGATGGCAGAGGGACAAAAGCAGCCAAGAATTCGGGTGAGACTTCCTGGTTCCCAAGGCGGAGCAGGGCGGGGCTGAGTAAATGCAGGCTTACCAACTCTTCCACCGCCCGCTTCAGTCCTCTGACAAGACGTGATCAGGAAAAATAAACCACCTGGACTACACCAAGATAAGAGGTGCACGGTGAAGGAATGCTTCGACAAAATGACAAGGCAGCCTAGGGAATGGGAGAAGGTATCTGCAAACGATACACCTGACAAAGAGTTTGGATCCAAAATAAACAACGGACTGATACAACTCAACACCCAAAACCAAATAATCCAATGACAAACTGGGCAGAAGACATGAACAGACATTTCCCTAAAGAAGACATCTAGACGGTCAATTGACACATGCAGAGATGCTCAACATGACTCATCATCAGGGAAATGCAAATCGAAACCACAATGAGATATTGCCTCGTACCTCTCAGAATGGCTAGGCTCAAAAGCCCAAAAAGACAAGTATTGGCAAGGACGTGGAAAAAAAGGAACCCTCGTGCACTGTCGGTGGGAATGCAAACTGGTGCAGCCACTCTGGAAAACAGTATGGAGGTTCCTCAGAAAATTAAAAATAGAACTACCCTATGACCCAGCAATTGCACTAGTGGGGATTTAACCAAAGAAAATGAAAACACTAATTCAAAAAGATATACGTACCTCTCTGTGTCTACTGCAGCATTATTTACAGTAGACAAATTATGGAAACAACCCAAGTGTCCATCGACTGATGAATGGATACAGAAGATGTGGTATATACATACATACACACAATGGAATATTACTCAGCCATAAAAAGAGAATGAAATCCTATCATTTGCAACAACATGGATGGAACTAGAGAGTATTATGCAAAGTGAAATAAGTTAGAGAAGGACAAATACCGTATGATTTTGCTCATATGTAGATTTTAAGAAACAAAAACAAACAAAGAAAAAAGAGAAACAGACTCTTAAATACAGAAAACTGATTGGTGGTTGCTGGAGGGGAGGGAATTGGGAGACGGGGGAAATAGAAATGATTATGAAATCCCAGCAGTAAGGGGCAAACGAAAGATCGGAGCTGAAGACCTTGTTTTTCTACTGTTGACCAGACAACTGGAACTAGTGTCACTATTTATGCCAGCATCTGGGTTTTTTTAATGTTTATTTATTTTAAAAAATTTGTAAATGTTTATTAAGAGAGAGAGAGACAGCATGAATAGGGGAGGAACAGAGAGAGAGGGAGACACAGAATCCGAAGCAGGCTCCAGGCTCCGAGCTGTCAGCACAGAGCCCGACGCAGGGCTCGAACTCACAAATCCAGAGATCATGACCTGAGCCGAAGTCGGACGCTTAACCAGCTGAGCCACCCAGACACCCCTGTTTGTTTGTTTATTTTGAGAGAGAGTGCGGAAGCAGGAGGGGGGCAGAGAGAGGGGGGAAGGGAGAATTCCAAGCAGGTTCTGCACTGTCAGGGCAGAGCCCCATGTGGGGCTCAATCTCACCAAATGCAAGATCATGACCTAAGCAGAAATCAAGAGTTAGATGCTCAACCGACTGAGCCACCCAGGTACCCCTGATTTTTATTTTTACCTGAAGATGTCTCTTTTTGGTAATACCAAATGGGTTTTTCAAAAAGCCTTTTTTTCCAATATACTTTTTTAATGGTTTTAAAATTGTTTCGTATCTAGCCAAGTTGAGATTTTTAAGCACCTCATTTTTAATTTGCAATAAAACATTACAACTTGATTTTTTTTCAAAAAGTCAACAAAATGCAAGCACCTGTTAATAAAGTTCTTTTTTTTTTTTAATGTTTATTCATTTTTGAGAGAGAGAGAGAGAAGGCAGGGGCAGAGAGAGAGAGGGAGGCACAGAATCTGAAGCAGGCTCCAGGCTCTAGGCTCCAAGCTGTCAGCACAGAGCCTGAATAAAGGCCTTAAAAATAATAATACTTATCTTTGGGGCACCCAAGTGGCTCAGTCAGTTAAGCATCCAACTTCAGCTCAGATCATGATCTCACAGTTCATGAGTTCGAGCCCCACATCGGGCTCTCTGCTGTCAACACAGAGCCCACTTTGGATCCTCTGTCCCCTCTCTGCCCCTCCCCTGCTCATCCTCTCTCTCTCAAAATAAATAAACTTAAAATATTATACTACTACTAATTATCTTTGTTATTATAAAGATACAATTAAGAAAATTAAAAAGCAAGTCATAGACAACCATAAACATGGAGTCTCTCACCTGGCCTGAAATTCGAGTAGATTTCATACTAGGGTTACAGTCAGTCTCTACTTGCTATGGACTGAATGTTTGTGTCCCCACAAAATCCGGGTTGAAATCCTAATCCCCATTGTGATGATAGTGGGAGGTGGGACCTTTGGGAGGTGTTTAGGTCATGAAGACAGAGCCTTCATCAAGGACAAGGGCAAGGGATTAGTGCCCTTATATGAGGCCTAGGAGAGCTCCCTCAACCCTTCTGCCATGTAAGGACACACCGGGAAGGTGGCAGGCAGGAAATCTGTGAACCAGGAAACGGGCCCTTAGCAGGCACTGCATCGGCCAGGTTCTTGCAGTCCTTGGAAATCTTAGATTTCCAGCCTCCAGGACTGTGAGAGATAAAGGTTCATCGTTTGTGAGCCATCCAGTCTATGGTATTTTGTTATAGCAGCCGGAACAGACAGAGGCACTGCTAAGGTCCAGATGGAGCCTTTCTTCAAGTGGCTGACCAGAGTTTTCATTTTTTTTTTTTTATTTTAACGTTTTTTATTTATTTTTGAGACAGGGAGAGACAGAGCATGAACACGGGAGGGTCAGAGAGAGAGAGGGAGACACAGAATCTGAAACAGGCTCCAGGCTCTGAGCTGTCAGCACAGAGCCCGACATGGGGCTCGAACTCACGGACCACGAGATCATGACCTGAGCCGAAGTCGGCCGCTTAACCGACTGAGCCACCCAGGTGCCCCTGACCAGAGTTTTCAGTAGAACTTTCTTCATCTCATTTTGAATAACTGAGTGCTGGCACAGGTCTTTAGAGTTTGCAGATATGACCAGGAGAACAGATAGTATGCAATCACCCCAACCATCTGGAGTATTTAAAAAACCAGGAAATAAGTCCAAAAACGTTTAGGCAGAAAATCGAGTTCTGCTTCTTTACATACGATCTTGACCAACTCCTGTACAAAAATGGGAAGTATGAAGCATTTCGAGGCATCTTTTTTGACTCACGAGCTTTAAAAGGACTCATGTTTCCTGGTGTGAACCCCAAGAGACCCCGAAACACACTCCCGTCCGTCCTCAGGCTGAGCTCCCTCTTTCCGCCCCTCTCTTCTTCCCAGGACGATACCAGCAAGCAAACCACCTGTCTGAAGACGGAGATCTCCCACGGAGGCGACTTCGCAGCCTTCCTCCTACAAGGCAAGATTAACCAAAGGTGGTTGAGAAGGTTCAGATGTGTAGTCTCTTCCAAATGACCACCTTTTTTCCAAACGTTTTATTTAGAAATAATTTACAGAAACGTTGCAAAGATTTACAGAAGAGCTATAAAGATAGGTACAGAGTTCCCCTGCACCCTTTGCCCAGCTTCCCCAATACCGACATTTAATGTGACCATTTGTCAAAATTAAGCAATGACATTGGTACAATACTATTAACTAAAGGGTTTTTTTTTTTTCTCCCAGATTTCGCCAGTTTTTCCACTAATAGTTCTGTTCCAAGGCTCAGTTCAGGATATCATATTATATTTACTCATCGTGTCTTCTTAGTCTACTCCCATCTATGACAATTTCTTGGTCTTTGTTTTTCTTGACCTTGACGCTTTTTTGAAGAATACCGATTAGATATTTTGCACTATGTCTCTCAATTTCAATTTTCCTGATATTTTTTTCAGGATTCAACTGGGGTTAAGGATTTGGGAGAGATGCCACAGGGGTGAAGTGCTCTCGTCACTGTATATCAGGGTGTATGTGCTAGCGACATCACCTAACAGGTGTCTGCCAGATTCCTCCATTGATAAAACACTTCCCTTCCCATACTCTGTTAGAAGCAAGTCACTATACCTGGACCACACTCTGGGGCAGAGGATTTAAGCCTCTCTACCTCTTTGAGGTAGGAGGATCAAAGAATTTGGAGGCATATATTGAAACCACCACAATAATGATAAACACGAGGCAACGCACGTATCCTGGGTCCCCTTAAAGGATGGCCACCAGTTCCAGCATTCATCCTTGGATCCTACCTGCTGTAATCATTACTATGGTGATAGGACATATTTTATTCAAGTGACTGCTTGATTTTTAACTTTGGGCCTCTATTTATATTCTTGCCCCGGGCCCCTCAAATGTGAAGTGCTTGAGAGAAAGCGTATACTTCATCATGTTTTATGCATCAAAGGAAGCTTTTATACTCTTTAGTAGTTCCTGGGGCTGCCCCAACCAAGCACCACAAACCGGGTGGCTCAAAACCAAAGATATTTATTCTCTCACAGGACTGGGGGGCGGAAGTCTGAAATCCAGGTGTCCAGATGATTACTTTCTAGAGGAAACACTGAGCCAGATGCCCACACCATGGGAAAGCAAGCCTTCCCAGGTTGACAGGAATTCCAGATAGGAACTGAGTGCGTTTCTATGATGAGTTAAAGCCCCACAGCCACTTCCGTGGGTTGTGACTTCCTCTAATATCAGCCAGGAGAATGCTCTTGAGCGATCTCTCCCAATTCTAGCCCTTAGCCATGCCCCTCTCAGTTACTGAGGCTGTTTATACCACCGTCCTCCCCAGACGGGAAAAGCTGTAAGACAGAATGTCACTGGAATTTACCATTTGGAGCCTAGAAAACATGGGGACCGGCCAGAGCAGGCAGCTTGGTTAAAAAACAGTCATATCAGCGCTGTGAGTGGGAGGGGCCCTGTTTCCTTCAGGTGGCAGAGGCCCGTCGGTCGGGGCTCACCAGCTCTCCAGGAGCAAGGACTTGCAATGACATCTCCTTCCGTTTGTCAAAGTTGCCGTTCCGAGGGCGCCAGCAGGTCTCTGGGCCAGGGGTTCTGAGAAGACAGGCCATCCCTCACAGGAGACTTCTCGCCTGCTCGAGATTGCTCAACGGGTCCGTGGTTTCCCAATGCAGGAGCCGGAGAGATTTGGCTGGATGTGTACAGATTGCCCAAGGAGTCTTGGCTCAAAGAAGTGGAGCACCCCCAACTTGCTATAAATCCAAAGAAGAAAGTCAGACAGTTGCAACTGGTAGGAGACATCTCCCTTTCCCATGGATAGGTTTCTCCCTACCCTTGACCCACATCCAAACTAAATCCTCCTTGGAATTTCAAGATGAAGGGGGCCCTACAGAGGCTGTAGGAGAGGACAGCAGGTGCTCCGGCCCACGACTCCAAAGTCGATTTGCTTTGGTTACAATGAGATATTAAAAAATAGAGGTGTCTTCAGCAGTGGGAGCCCCTCTGTCTCTGGTCTGAGAGTTGCCTCTGCACCAAAGCCGCTCCCAGGCATTTGGGGGGGGGGGGGGGTCATCTTTTATCCTGACTCCTGCCTCATTGGTAATTTTTTTCCCCATCTGGGCTGAAATAATCCTTTCATGCCTTGCATTCCACTGAATTTCCCAGATTATGGTATAAACAGGTTGTTCTTGATATATGGGAATACAGTATATATATTTTTCACATTCTTAGAAATCAGGAGCTCTACCGTTTCAGTTTATTTATTTTTATTTTTTTAGTTTTTTTTAAGTAATCTCTACGTCCAGCATAGGGCTCGAACTCACAACCCCGAGACCTCGAGTTGCATGCTCTACCAACTGAGCCAGCACAGGCCCCCACTTCAGTTTAATTATATGTGGACCTTGTGCTGTGTCTTTAAAATATAGTTCCTCAGTAAATATTATTCTGAGACCTGGTCTGCTCATCCATCCAATATGCACTTACTAGTTTTTAACCAGCAACAATTATTAATTGGGTGAGCTTTTAAAACACACTGTATCAGGTGCAAAAGACTTATGAACTTATTAATATAGGAGAGTGAATTTGAGACTCACATTCACCACTGAGTTCACTGAGTGGCTTCAAACAAATGCCTTTTCTCCCCAGTGAATGTCTTCAAAGAGGGGTGTAGTCCTGATCACTGGAAGAGTTACCAGCCCAGAGATCTTCCTCCTCTAAACTCTTACAGAATTTATTCCTCATACCTCTTTTTTGGCATTTCCCCATATACTACCTTGAATTTTAGTTATCCTTTTGTGCATGAAAGGTTTGTTTTTTTTTTTTAATTAACTAGATGATAATTTTCTGGACTGTTAAGAACACACCTTCTACTCCTTATTAACCAACTACACAGTATCATACTCCGTATCCAAAAGATACGTTTTGAGGGCTTAATTTATTATCCAACTGGGAAAACTACCTTGGAAAGGGGATGTTTCTCACCATAATTCACTCATTTCCATAACTGAGAACCAACCAAATAACACCAGTCCCAGGGGTAGTCCTGGTACTGTGACTTACATGTAGAGTTGGTTAAATAAAATTGCCAACATCGTCAATATATTTTGCCAATCAGGAATATTCACTTCGACTTAGATTTTTATAATGGCTTCCTGACTGATCTCCTTACCTCTGTTCATTCATTTTTGCTCGTATCATTACTTCCAGTTTCCCCTACTACATTTTAAGATCTTAGACAGTACGGATCGTGTGTTAAAAATCCTGCAGGCCAGAGGATCACACAAATATCGGTCCTCTGTTTCTTTCTACAGGTCACTACCACCAACAGTAACAGGGGAAGAAAGAGATTCAGAGGAGGTGGGGGGACGTACATCAAGCCTATTGTGAATTAATTTCTCACTTTTTTCCTCAGAATACTCCTGACTCTGTGACTTCAGATAATTTGGAAATGGTAAGGAACTTTATGCATTTTTTTAATGTTTATTTTTGAGAGAGGGAATGAGGCAGAGCGTGAGCAGGGGAGGGCCAGAGAGAGGGAGACACAGCATCTGAAGCAGGCTCCAGGCTCCAAGCTGTCAGCACAGAGCCCAACGCAGGGCTTGAACCGTGAACCGTGAGAACATGACCTGAGCCGAAGTCGGACGCCCAACCCACTGAACCACCCAGGCGCCCCAATGGTAAGGAACTTCAAAGAAAATCTCCAGGGAGACAGATTCAAGTCGTATGCTATAGATTTTTATTTTGACTTGAAATTTACTTTAAATATCAAGTATACTAGTGAAATGTTCCAACAGGGCACTCTTTTCAGATACTCTGTGACTTAATCTCATGCCTCATCCATGGAGAGTTGTCCCCTATCCTTGAGGATAATTGACCCAAGTCAGTTGTCCAGAGACAGATTTCCAAGAAGACACGGGGGGTTAAATTTCAGGGCCCCTCACTTGTATGGCCCCTTCCAAGGCCCTGTGAGGGGTCTGACCACTGTGTTCACATTTTTTTGTAAAATTAGCAAAAGTAATATTTTAACCAGTCACTTAGGACCACTGTGTGTTTTCACTCAAACTTCCCCTGTCACATTTCCCCCCATATTGGGTGGTATTAGGGTGGCCACGGGCATTTCGTGTTGAAAATTTTGTGTTCTTTCTTTTACAGAGGCCCCTAAAATGTATATACTCAGGTCCCATGAAACCCAATTTGCCCCTGCCAAACTAACAGCCCATTCCACCAAGCCAAGTTTCTTGGGGGGCTTCATCTCTGTATTGGGATACCTTAGAGAATAGAGTGGCTTCCCCGGGGCGGGGGGCTTCCCAGCTCTCCCTTTGAGGCCGAGAGCACACCATGCTTTCCAGTGTGTGTGTGTGGGGGGGGGGGGTGTGCAAACTAATGGAATACAATGGCATCTCATGTAATTTTCACTGATCTCTTCATATTTTTTATTGGCCACTGAGGTTTTCTTTGAATTGCCTGCCTGTATCACTTGCTCGTTATATGTTTCCTTCCAGTTTGTGGTTTCCCTTTTTCCTTGGTTTATGTGCTTTTCTGTTGTAAAGAAGTTATAAGTTTTGATGCAGTTGGAGTTTTCTTTTTTTTTTTTTATACCCATCGCACGTAGTAGGCTTTCCCTACCTCAAGGTTATAAATCAATTCTCCTGTGGTTTCTTCTAATAATCTCAGAGTTTCATTTTTGACATTTCCCTCTTTAATTCATAGGGGAGTGTCTTTTGTGAACAGAGTGAGGAAGGAGCCAACTTTCATCTGTTTTTTTTTAAGTAGCCAATTGTCACACAAATATTTTTGAGTCATCTTTTCCCATTTGTTTTGAAATGTGACCTTTTATCATTCCTATTTTATTTCTATGTTCTTTATCCTATTCCATTAAAATACTCATCTGCCTGCACCAAGACCTTAATGAACTTTGGAGCAAAACTGCCAGGATTCTAATCTCGTCAATGCCACGTGCTAGCAGGGTGACCTTATTGTGTATTATCTGATTATCTGTTCTATTTTCCATGTTTTTTGTTGTTGTTCTACCTCTGGGGAGAGCTCATCTGCTCAGTGTCTCCACTCTCTGAGTTTTTCATTTTTGCTATCATATTTTCATTTACAAAAGCCTCCCCCTTTTTTCTTTCTTTTCTTTTCTTTTCTTTCTTTCATAAATGTTAATGACTTTCCTAAAAACATTTATGATAATTTTTGATGTTTCTTCTCCATGTTTGGTCTATTTCCCCAAAGTTGCTTTTTTCCCTACTATTTGTTTTGGTCTCTGTCTTTCCAAACAGATACTTTCTTCACTTGGCTCTCTACTCCTATCTAAAGGTAGGGGTCACTGAGAAACTGACAGGAAGCCAGCCCTGTGGGCATGGGTGGGGCTTGTTAACCGGTTTTGCTAAAGGATACCCCAGCTGGGCTGCAGTGTTGGGACACGCTCCTGTCTGTTTCCCCAGCTATCCTTAAGTAGAGCGTGCCTATGAAACACCTTTCTAAGCCAACATGGGGTAAAGTGAAGAAGCAACTACCACTAACTTACGTGGGACAACGTTTGAGCATTCCCAGACCCCCAAAATAACCTCTCTTAGGCTTGCTAATGTATGTACAAGATAAATCGACATGAAGCACAGATGCTCACAGACACCGGGGAAAGCTATGGCACGTGGCGCCCACAGGCTGGGTGCAGCTCCCCGGGAAGGACGTGGGCGAGGCCTCGCTTACCGCTCAGTGCAGGTGCTGCCTTTACTCTAACAACCCAGCTCTCACCTGAGTTGCAGAGGCGGTTGGGGAACATGCCTTGGGGTGTGGGAGGGGTGACCTCAACATTCAGTATGTAAACTTTAACTTCATTCTGTCGGCTGCATGCAGTTAGGGAGTCTAAGAGTTTAAAAGCGTCTTAAAGAGATTTTCACCCAATCCTGTTGAACCCAGAGACACCTGAGCTGCCATTTTCTTGAGTCTTTAGGGCCTTTGTGATGTGAATCAAGTGACTCCCAGGCTTTCTCCCTTACTGGTTCAGATCTTTCTTGGGTCTGCTAAATCTTTTAGCCACCTGCTTCCCAAGTCCAAAATTTTCTTGCTTTTGTTTCCTTTTTATTCTCTTATTCCTTCTGAGTTTATTTTTTTAATGTTTATTTTTATTTTTGAGAGGGAGAGACAGAGCACAAGCAGGGGAGGGTAGAGAGTGAGGGAGACAAAAGCAGGCTCCAGGCTCTGAGCTGTCTGCACAGAGCCCAACGCAGGGCTCGAACCCACGAACCCTGAGATCATGACCTGAGCCGAAGTTGGACGCTTAACCGACTGAGCCACCCAGGCACCCCTATTCCTTTTTTAAAAAGCACCTTCCTGTCATTTTCATGGGGTTTCAGGAAGGAGAGGTGTTAAATGTTACCTGTTCACACTACCATCTATATTTTCTAGCTAGTTATTGCTGATCCGAGGCTGTATCAGTATTCATCAACTCATTTGCGCAAAGAAGTTGTAAGGATATCAAGTTTCAGAGAACTGGAAGGCACAAGGGAGGGTAGGCAGTAAAAACATTGTAGCCAGGACTCCACTACCACTACTCCTGACCATCACCACCCCCCCAAGAGACACAGCCACCAAAGGTGATGCTGGGCTTTCCATGACGGCTCTGTCACTGGGCTCTTGACATGGCCACCTCCACTGTGAATAATTTCTCTCCTGCTTCTGGATCTCTGTGTCACTTCCTCAAGAGTCCCAGTCCCAGGCAGGAGCCCACAGCTGGTTGAGCCTTGGTCATGTGCCAACACCCTAACCTCCAAGGGACAGAAAGAAGAATCTGGTCCCTTCAGTTCCTTAGAGGGAGACAGATTCTCCCAGACTCACACCATAGGTGAGTCCCCTCAAGGTAGAAAAGATGTTGAGGGCTGGATAGCCAAAATGATGACAATGGCCACTACACTAGTACATAGGGAAGCTATTGATTTTTGTATGTTGATCTTATATTTGGCCAAGATTACGGTGAGGTCAGCAAAACATAGACACTGTTGGGGTCATGCAAGTGTGGGGGTGGGCACCTAAGAGTGAGTGCCTCCTGAAAGTGCCTCACTTCCTTTATTTACCCTAGTCTCAGGACTGTTGGCCTTTCTACTGAAGTTCTAATGGTTTGCCAGCTGACACTGCTGGATTTTCCAGCTAGACAACCATAACTATAAATACAACTTTTCCTCTCTCAAGTATTTATTTCTCCTATTTATTGTTCTTGCCTTGTTCTATGTTCTAGGATCTCTAGTAAAATGCTGAATAGTCATGGTGTGATAGACTATCCAGGATATAACAGGGGTCCTCCAACTGTTTGACTATTATGCCCGAAGCTTACTATAGGCATTTGAAATAAATATCCTTTATCAAGATAAGCATGTGTTCTTCTAGCCTCCGTTTGCTAGGAGTTTGTTGTTTGTTTGTTTTTTAATTAGGAATGGACATTGACCAAATACTTTCTCCTCATCTTTTGAGAAGAGCTTTCTTCCTTCATCTGCTTCATCTGCTTTCTTCCTTCATCTGCTAATGTAGTAGGTTGCATTAATAGATTTTCTAATGTTGAAACATTCTTTGTAAAATATGTTTTAATGTTTATTTATTTTGAGAGAGAGAGAGAGAGGCGGGGGGGCAGAGAGAGAGCGGGACAGAGAGAAACCCAAGCACCCTCCATGCTGTTAGCACAACGCCCAGAGCGGGACTTGATCTCAAGAACCGTGAGATCATGATCTGAGCTGACATCAAAGGTTGGACACTTAACTGATTGAGCTACTCAGGTACTCTAAAACTTTCTTACTTCCATTCTTGGGTAATCCATGCTTGATAATAATTCATTTAATTATACTTCAGTGTGTTTTGCTAATATTAAAGTCCTAAATAAAATACCAGCAAAGCAAACTGATAGTTCTGTATTCATAGATAGTATCTAAATTCAAACACGAGATTGGCCTATAGTGGTGTTTTTTTTTTTCTTGTGGATTTCTTAACACAATTTTGTATTAGTGTTATGCTAGCCTTGTAAAGAAAGTTGGATGTCGTTTTTTGTTTTTTTACCTCTAGGTCTATAAAAATCTTATGTTTTCAATTTCTTCTATGGTTATTAGTCCGTTTCAAAAACTTTTGAGCCAATTTCAGTCAGAAGTCATTTATTAGTGTAGATATATAACTATAGATATATGTAAATATGTTTCTCCTATAGTATGAAAATTAAAATCTGTCTCTTACATTATTCCCCTTCCTTGTTCATAATGGATCTAGCTCACTGATTTTTTTGTTTTGTTTTGATGTTATCTATTTTAAGAGCGAGAGAGACAGAGCATGAGCAAGGGAGAGGCAGAGAGAGAGGGAGACACAGAATCCAAAGCAGGCTCCAAGCTCTGAGCTGTCAGCACAGAGCCAACGCGGCGCTCAAACTCAGGGAATGTGAAATCATGACCTGAGCTCAAGTCGGACGCTTAACCGACTGAACAACCCAGGCGCCCCCTAACTCACCGATTTTAACTTGCCAATATTTTGTTAATTTTACATCTGTGTTCATGAAGGATATTTTTTGTTTTCCTTTCTTCCTCCCTCCCTCCCTCCCTCCCTCCCTCCCTTCCTTAATATTTTAAGTAATCTCTACACCCAGTGTTGGGCTCAAACTCAAAACCATGAGATTAAGAGTTGCACACTCTACTGACTGAGTCAGCCAGGTGCCCCAGTTTTATTTTCTTCTAACATCTTTTGGTTTGGTATCAGGATGATGCTGACCTCATATAATAAGTAGAGTGTTCCTGTTTTATTTTCTGGAAGAGTTTGTGTAGAATTGGTATTATTTCTTCCTAAAGTGTTTGATAGAATTTACCAGTAAAGCCATCTAGCCATGGAGTTTTCCTTGTGGAACTATAAATTCAGTGTCTTTAGTGACAAAGGGTCATCTCTTTCTCCTTAAGGTTTTTTTTGTTTTTTTGTTTTTTTTTTTTTTACATTTTTATTTATTATCAAGAGACAAAGAGAGAGCATGAGCATGGGAGGGGCAGAGAGAGGAGGAGACACAGAATCCAAAGCAGACTCCAGGCTCTGAGTGGTCAGCACAGAGCCAGACGCGGGGCTTGAACTCATAAACCGTGAGATCATGACCTGAGCCAAAGTGGGCCGTTTAATGGACTGAGCCGCCCAGGCACCCCACCTTCTTTAAGTTTTTATTTAAGTAATTGCTACCCCCAACATGGGGCTGCAACTCAAACCTCGAGATTAAGAGTCACACACTCTTCTGACTGAGCCAGATAGGCACCCTGGTTAGGTCTTTCTTTTTTTTTTTTTAATTTTTTTTTCAACGTTTATTTATTTTTTGGGGGACAGAGAGAGACAGAGCATGAACGGGGGAGGGGCAGAGAGAGAGGGAGACACAGAATCGGAAACAGGCTCCAGGCTCCGAGCCATCAGCCCAGAGCCCGACGCGGGGCTCGAACTCACGGACCACGAGATCGTGACCTGGCTGAAGTTGGACGCTTAACCGACTGCGCCACCCAGGCGCCCCAGGTCTTTCTTTTTAAGCAAACTTTCGTATTTTGTGTCGTTGAAGGAACTTGTCCATTTTTACCTAAGTTATCAAATGTATTGACTTAAAGTGGTTAATATTCTCTTATTATCTTTTTATTATCTGTAAAATCTGTTTTGATGTCCTTTTCTTCATTTCTGATGGTGGTAATTTGTGTTTTCTCTTTTTTTTTTCTTAATTAGTTTGGCTAGAGTTTTGTCAATTTTATTAATCTTATCAAAGAGCCAGTTTTTTATTTCTTTGTCTCCACATTTTTGTTTTGTTTTCTATCTGACCAGTTTCCAATTTGATTTTTATTATTTCCTTTCTTCTGCTTACTTTTGGTTTAAGCTTTTCCTTGCCTTCTAGTTTCTTAAGGCAGAAAGCTAGGTCATGTATTTGAGATCTTCTTTTCTGATACAGGCATTTAGTGCTATAAACTTACATCTAAGCACTGTTTTAGCTGCATTCTTTATATTTTGATGGGATGTTCCCATTTTTAAAAATACTTCAAAATACTTCCTATTTGCTTTTTTTAAAATTTCTTGTTTGACCAGTGAATTATTTAGAAGTATATTAGTGTCTAAATACTGGAGATGTTCCAGATATTTTTCTTTTTTTGGTTTCTAATTTAATTCCATTGTGACTAGACAAAATACTTCATATAATTTGAAACCTTTTAAATTTCTTAAGATTTTATGCCCAGAATATGGTTTATGTTGTTGGTAATTGTTCTGCATGCACTTGAAAAAATGTGTATTTTGCTGCTGTTAGTCAAGTTATTTATGTCTGCTTTTCCTTCTATAGCCTTACTATATTCTTCCTGATTATCTGTCTGTCCTATCAGTTATTGCGAGAGGAGTATTCAAATATCTAAGATTACAGATTTATCTATTTCTGCTTTCACTTCAATGAATCTTTGCTTTGTGTATTTTGAAGCTCTGTTATTAGGGGCATAAACATTTGGAATGTTATGTCTGCTTGATGAATTGACCATTTTATCATATTCAGTGAATTTTTATCCCTGTTAATATTCTTTTCTCTGAAATCTATTATGTCAGATATTAATATAGTCACTCCAACTTTCTTTGATTAGTTTTACAAGACGGATTTTTACTATGCTTTTAATAGATTGGTGTCTTTGTGTTTAAAATGAGTTTCTTTTTGACAACATATAATAGGGTCTTACTTTTTTTTTTAAGTTTATTTTTGAGAGAGAGAGAGCAGGGGAGGGGTGGGGGGGGGAAGGGGGGCGGGGAAACAGAGGATCTGAAGCAGGCTCTGTCCTGACAGCAGAAAGCCCAATACAGGGCTGGAATCCATAAACCATGAGATCATGACCTCAGCTGAAGTCGGAAGCTTAACCGACTGAGCCACCCAGGCACCCTGGGTCTTACCTTTTTAGACAATCTGACAGTCTCTACCTTTTAATTGGGTAGTTAGGCCATTTATATTTAATGTGATTGTTGATGCATTTGGATTGAAATAAATCACTTTGCTATTTACTTCCTATTTGTCACATCTGTTTTTCTTCCTTTCCCTCTGTTTCTGTCTTCTTTTGGGATGTGTTTTTAATGATTCTGTTATATCTCCTTTGTTGGCTTATTAGCTGTGCCTTTTCCTTCTTGTAGGATATAAACATTTGTTTTAGAGAAGACATTAAGTTGAGTCTGCCAGTTCACATAATGAAGATCAAACCACCCAAACCAGTTACAGGTTAGTATAATTCAACTAATACTCTTTTTATTTCTGATATTAATTTCTGTTTTTTTTCTTTCTTTGCTTTCCTCCAAATTTCCCAACTTTTCTAGATATTAGCAGCAATATCTAAATTACAAGTATAGTTCTGAGGAGGAAATTTTTTTAAAAGTCATAAGCTCTGGGATCTAAGGACAAAAATATAAATGTTACAAGGACATAGTTAACCAACAGAATTGGAAAATCAGGAAAAACAGGCATCTAGCTGGAGTTCATCCATTTCTATATTCCTGTGTTAATGCATTCATCAGGATTTGCTGAGTGCCAATGAAGAACCAAGCACACAGATGAGTAAGACACCTTTTCCATACCAAAAGCTGCTGTTCTACCAAGGGAGAATAAGAGGAAAGTGGCATTGTAGGATATGATAAGTGCAGCAATGGGGAACATTTAGGACCATGAAAATATAGAGGAAAGAGTGACCAACTCTTCCTATGGAGGAGGCAGAGGGTTTATCAAAGGAAGGGACATTTGGGAAGGTCTTTTTTTTGCCGGGGGGTGGGGGGTGGGGTGGGGGTGGGGCAGAGGGAGAAGGACTTGAAGGACAAGTGGGAGTAGGTCAAGAGGGGCAGAGGAGAAGTCCATTGTAGGCAGAGGATAGAGTATATCCTCTCAATACCTGCCCAGAACCTCAAAGATATATCTATAGGAATGTTCACTGCAGCATTATTTATAGAGGCAAAAGACTAATTAAATAAAATCTGGTACACTCATCCAAAAGAATACTTTACAACTGTCAAAAACAAAGAAGGAAATTCAAAAGGCCAAGAATAGCCAATTCACTCTTGTAAAAGAACACGATGACATGATTTGCTCTATCAAGACTTATTATAAGGGGCGCCTGGGTGGCTCAGTCGGTTAAGCGTCCGACTTTGGCTCAAGTCATGATCTCGTGGTCTGTGAGTTCAAGCCCCGTGTCGGGCTCTGTGCTGACTGCTCAGAGCCTGGAGCCTGTTTCAGATTCTGTGTCTCCCTCTCTCTCTGACCCTCCCCCATTCATGCTCTGTCTCTCTCTGTCTCAAAAATAAATAAACGTTAAAAAAAAAAAAGACTTACTATAAAGCTATAGTAATTAAGACACAATAGAAAAATAGATAAGTGAATAGTAGATAGATAGAAATATATATAGAGAGAATATAGAAATATAGATAGAAATAGTATACAGAATATAGTAGTAGAAAAATAGATAAATGAAACATGATAGGCCAGAACAGACCAAGACATAAATGGACACTTGATAACTGACAGAGGTGACATTACAGAGCAGGCGAGAAAGGATGGTCATTTCAATAAATGGTGCTGGCTGTCCATATGGAAACAAAAGTGAGACTCGACTCCTGCCTCCCACCATACACAAAAATAAATTCCAGACGACCCATAGAAGCAAATATGAAAGAGAAAACAGTAAAGCTTTTAGAAAATAATATAAGACAGTATCTTTATGATTTCATAGGAAAAGACTTTTTATTTTTTTATTTTTTATTTTTTTCAACGTTTATTTATTTTTGGGACAGAGGGAGACAGAGCATGAGCGGGGGAGGGGCAGAGAGAGAGGGAGACACAGAATCGGAAACAGGCTCCAGGCTCCGAGCCATCAGCCCAGAGCCCGACGCGGGGCTCGAACTCACGGACCGCGAGATCGTGACCTGGCTGAA